TTCTAAATACAAAAACTATCACCTATGACATAATGATCAGATGCATTGGGAGCTTCTCTGACAAAACAGGCCTTCAAGTTTGCCTGTAGGTGGTAGTGGTCATCTTTTAATACTGTAAAATACAACTAAATTGTTAAAAATAATCAATACAATTTTAAAAGTAATTTAGACATGTAATTTGTCCCAGGGTTATTGCAAAGTTAAGTGATGTATACCAATTCTACAAAATTTGGCCTGTTCATCAATGACTCCTGGTCACGAAAGCGTTAATGTATATTGTAGAAGCAAAACTGCAGTCAATGAGACATCAACCAAATCAGTAAAAAAAAAAAAATAATTGAATTTTTTGATCTGTACAATCCATTACTTGGAGTACATCACAGGACACAGAGGTCCCTCCCCTCTGTATTTTGATCTATGGCTTGCTATGAAATAGAAGCCCAACCTACAGGGAAGAAGTGGACCTCCTGTCTTTTTTTTGCTAGTGTCCATTCACCTGTAAGCGGCATATAACTCCTGTTCATATGGAGTATTAAAGTTGCGCTGTGTCCTGTGATGTAGACTGACGACATCAGAAATTTTAAGCGACATAGCTGTGCACTGGATCGATTTTGGCATAAAACCAAATCTCAGCAAGCTTTCACCCGATATAAATCTGCTTTCCTAACATACAATTCCTCTCTCCATGCTGCCAAACAAGCCTACTTTGTCACTCTCAGCCATAGCTTGTCATACAGTCCTCGTCATCTCTTCTCTACTTTCTCCACCTCCACCCAGTACCTCACTCTCTGCTTACAAGATTGCAAATCATTTCAAAAACAAGATTGATGCAATTCATAGGGGCATCTCCACTGCACAGACATCCCATCTTACTTGACATACCTTATACTAAACCTCCCTCAACGCTTTCCTCTTTTGACCTTACGAATACCGAAGAAGTCACTAAGGTTTTCTCAGAAGCCCGTCTCACTACCTGCCCTCTGGATCCTGTCCCCTCACAACTACTACGGTCACCCTCTTCTTCTATCCTATGCTCCCTCACATCTTCAGTCTCTCCCTTTCTAATGGTGCCTTCCTCTCCCCTCTAAAGCATGCGCACATCACTCCCATACTTAAAACCCTCATTGGACCACAACAAGACCCATCTCCCTGCTCCCGTTTACCTCTAACCTCTTAGAATGCTTAGTCTACAATTGCCTGAGCTCCTACCTCACTGACAACAACCTTCTTGACCTTTTACAGTCTGGCTTTCGCTCACTCCACTCCACTGAAACTGCCCTACTAAAACTCACTAATGATCTATTAACAGCTAAAACCAGTGGCCACTACTCCATACTCTTACTACTTGACCTCCTCGCGGCTTTTGATAATGTTGACCATCCCCTCCTCCTCAAAAAACTCCACTCTCTTGGCCTCCGAGACTCTGGTCTCTCCTGGTTCTCCTCCTACCTTTAGCAGCACTACTTCAGTGTTACCTATAACTGTCTCCTCCTCTCCACTTCCTCTTTCTGTAGGGTCCGTCAAGGTTCTGTCCTTGGACCCCTTATCTTCTCCATCTACACCTCCTCCCTTGGTCACTTGATAAACTCCCACGGCTTTAACCACCTCCCGCCTGCCATATAGTAATATGACGGACGCAAGGTGGTTCTCTCATTCTGGGAAGACGTCATATGACGTCGGCTCGGTCATGTGATCAGCTGTGTCCAATCACAGCTGATCACATGTAAACAGGGAAATGCCAGTTATCGGCATTTCTCTCCTCACGAGTTGTCAGCGTGAGGTTTTGGTTTTTTCTGAGGTTTTTGGTTTAAGAAAAAAATAAAAAACCCAGAGGTGATTAAATACCACCAAAATAAAGCTCGGTCGCAAAAAATTGATAAAAATTTCATATGGGTACAGTGTTGCATGACCGCGCAATTGTCATTCAAAGTCCAACAGCGCTGAAAGCTGGAATTTAGCCTGGGCAGGAAGGGGGTATAAGTGCCCTGTAGGCTAGTGGTTAAGTACCATCTCCATGCTGATGACACACAAATCTATCTTTCTTTTCCTCACCTCACCCCCCTTCAGTCTCCTCTCGCATTACTAACCTACTAAGTGACATATCGGCATGGATGTCACTCCACTTCCTCAAACTCAATCTTTCCAAAACTGAGCTCTTAGTATTCCCCCCAGCCCGTGCCCCCTCCCCTGACTTCTCCATCAAGATCAATAATACAACCATCAATCCCTCCCCTCATCTGTCCATCTGTCAACCATCTGTCCTTTCAGCCCCAAATCCAATCACTGTCCAAATCTTGTAGACTTCACCTCCACAACATCTCCAAGATACACCCGTTCCTAACCTCTGAAACCACTAAGGAACTTATTCACTCCCTGGTTCTCTCTCACCTTGACTATTGTAACTCCCTCCTCATTGGCCTACCTCATCGTAGGCTATCCCCTCTTCAGTCTATCACGAATGCTGCTGCCAGACTCATCTACCTTACTAACCTTTCCATATCTGCCACCCCTCTCTGCCAATCCCTCCACTGGCTTCCCATTGCCCAACGAATAAAATTCAAAACATTAACAAGAACATATAAAGCCATTTATAACTCTGCCCCAAATTATATCACCGATCTTGTCTCCAAATATCACCCAAACCGTACTCTCTGCTCCTCGCACAACCTCCTACTCCATAGCTCCCTTGTATCCTCCTCCCATGCTTGTCTACAGGACTTCTCCAGAGCCTCCCCCAGGCTCTGGAACTCTCTACCCCAATTTATCAGACTATCGCCTACTCTGCTCACTTTTAGGCAATCTCTAAAAACCTCTCTCTTCAGGGAAGCCTATCCTGCCCTCAGCTAATAATGGAATCTTCTACTCCTCCTACCAGTCCATCCCCCCACAGTTACTACTTTTTGTACCACTAGCCCCTCCTTCTTAGATTGTAAGCTCCAAGGAGCAGGGTCCTCCTAAACCCTTATGTATTGAACTGTATTGTTGCTGTATTGTCTCCCTTTATATTGTAACGCACTGAGCAAACTGTTGGCGCTATATAAATCCTGTATAATAATAATAATGTTAGTTCAGGTCAAGGAAATTAAAATTTTAAAAAGTAAGGTTCGACAAAAGGTAAACAGGTAAGGGAAATAACACGTATAGAACTTTGGTACCTTTTGTTGCCTGGTTGCTGATCGGCGGTGGGTTTGAGGCAGGTCTCTTGGTAGGGTGAAGGGGCACAGAGGGTGAGGTCTCTCCATATATCCTGTCTGGACTCATGCTGCCGTCACTCAGGCGAGAGTCTGCTGGGCTAAGGCTGCCCTCCTGGTCATATTTCTCTGGCTGGTAGCGTGGGGAGTCCCAACTTTCACTCTCAGAAAAGCATTTAATCTTGTGAATGTTCCCACCAGCCTCTCCCGAGTATTCCTGCCTGTGACTTTTCGCAGCTTTGCAAAAATCCTGTGATAAGACAACCATGGTTAAAATACAATGAGAGCTGGAACCTGGCTGGCTGCTGGAAAGCAACACACTTTTTGCCACTTGAGAATAGAATCCTGCCTTATGCCACATTCACAATTCAAAAATTTAACAAAACTACTACACTCCACTACTACACTCCAAGCAGTTCAAAAAGACACAACCTAATGCAGCCCTGTGATCATGAACACACACTTGAATGCATTTTTAAATGCAAGTACCTGGTGTCAACCTCCCGCAGCCCTTGTACAGCAGAGATCAGACTGGAAGAGGGAAGTGCAGCACAAAAAGACAATCAATTGTGCTGCTATACAAGGAGCATGCCAATATGAGGAGAGAGAGCACAGTTGAGAGATGAGCTCATGAGTGTACTACTTTTTCTTTCAATGTCCAGTTAAAGGTTGGGGAGAAACAAGACCCGTGTTACTTACTTAAAGCAAAAGTAAACCACACCAATGGATCTAATATGTTCCCAAAACTTAATTTCAGGGCATGCTGTGAATGCAGTCACAGCTGCCTGCACTTTCAAATGAACAGTCAAGCCATCAAATGGCTGGTGTCATAACTGATCACATTTGAAGAACCATGGCAACTGCAAATCAAACAGAGGCTAAGATGGGAGCCTCCTTTGCTGTGAAGGACAGGAGGGCTTAGCACTGCTTTTAAAGCGATTCTAAAGGTTCGTGTTTTTTGTTGTGTGCCGTGGTTTTGCACAGAGCAGCCTGGATTTTTTGGGTCCCCCGCAGGATCTTCTGGCTTCTCGTGCCTGTTGGGTGCCCCCACAGCAAGCAGCTTGCTATTGGCGCACCAGTTGCTCCGTGTGTCCGTTCACACAGGGTGCCCCCTCTCCTGACTGGCTGTGATTGACAGCTTGCTTGCTTTCTCAGCCAACGAGAAGGCAGAGACCCGGGACAGCCGAAGCTGGATAGTTTACACGCACATGAACTTTAATCTCAGTCTTAGTCAATGGGGTTCAGTATTGAGCTGGCCCACCCTTTGCAGCTATAACAGCTTCAACTCTTCTGGGAAGGCTGTCCACAAGGTTTAGGAGTGTGTCTATGGGAATGTTTGACCATTCTTCCAGAAGTGCATTTGTGACGTCAGACACTGATGTTGAACGAGAAGGCCTGGATCGCAGTCTCTGCTCTAATTCATCCCAAAGGTGTTCTACCTGGTTGAGGTCAGGTCTCTGTGCAGGCCAGTCAAGTTCCTCCACCCCACGCTCGCTCATCCATGTCTTTATGGACCTTGCTTTGTGCACTCGTGTGTAGTCATATTGGAACAGTAACGGTCCATTCCCAAACTGTTCCCACAAAGTTGGGGGCATACTGATGCCTTAAGAGTTCCCTTCACTGGAACTAAGGGGCCAAGCCCAAACCCTGAAAAAACCCCACACCATAATCCCCCCTTCTCCAAACTTTACACTTGGCACAATGCAGTCAGACAAGTACCAGTCTACTGGTAAATGCAAAACCCAAAACACATCAAAATAGCCAGACAGAGAAGTGTGATTCGTCACTCCAGAGAACATCTCCACTGCTCTAGAGTCCAGTGGCGGTGTTCTTTACACCACTGCATCCGACACTTTGCATTGCACTTGGTGATGTAAGGCTTGGATGCAGCTACTCGGCCTTGGAAACCAATTCCATGAAGCTCTGTATGCACTGTTGTGTGCTAATCTGAAGGCCACACCAAGTTTGAAGGTCTTTAGCTATTGACTTTGCAGACAGTTGGTGACTTCTGCGCACTGTGCGCTTCGGCATGCGCTGACCGTGATCTGTTATTTTACGTGGCCTACCACTTCGTGGCTGAGTTGCTGTTCCCAGTCGATTCCACTTTGTTATAATACCACTAACAGTTGACCATGGAAACTTTAGTAGCAAGGAAATTTCACGGATGGATTTATTGCACAGGTGGCAACGTATCACAGTACCACGCTTGAATTCACTGAGCCCCTCAGAGCGACTCATTCTTTCACAAACATTTGTAAAAGCAGTCTGCATGCCTAGGTGCTTGATTTTATACACCTGTGGCCATGGAGGTGATTGAAACACCTGTATCCAAGGATTTGGAGGGGTGTCCCAATACTTTTGGCAATATAGTGTATATGCATTTAGCTGTTCAGCTTTAAATATCACATAAAAAAACAGTTAACAGTGCTCAGTTCATAGAAGAAGTGACTCAATTGCGCATTCAGCTGAAGCTAGAGTTTTAATTAGACAATCAAAGCAAGAATGGACTGCTGTATTATTTGGATACCCCATAATGCTCTGGGAATCCTTTATCATGTATTAAATGTTTAATTGTAAAACAAAAAAGTTGTATGTATGTATGTATGTATGTGTGTATGTATGTGTGATGCCTTTATAGGGAAAAGCAACTGTTTCACTTAATTACTCCCCTCCTTAGCTGCATATACCAACCTGCTTTTTGCTCTCCCCGCTGCTTGATTTGCCTTGTTTAAACCCTTGCAACTTGAAGCATGCACAAGAAAAGAAGACCCTTTCCCCATCCTCATGTGGCAACAGCACCGGGCGCCTCAATAGCTAATCACCAAGGACTAGTACATGGTTGGAATAGGAATTCTCCCCTATACCCAGAAGTATCAGATGTTTCTCTCTTCTTTCCAAACAGAAGAAGGGAGTGAAAGGTGAACATATTCTACTGAGAAGGGTGACTGTTAAGTAAAGTACACCTGTTGCTCTGACTGGCCTTGGCAAAGCACATGTTCAATACATGAACACACAGACAGAGGACTCCTGGCTCCTCCCCCCTCAATCAGTGCCCCCCAACAGCAAGCTGCTTGCTATGGTGGGCACTGGTGCATGCTCGCTTTCGAGCTTGACTCTATGTGCCCTGCTCTCTCCTCATTGGCTCACTGGCTGTGATTGACAGCAGTGGGAGGCGGGGCTCTAGTGCACATCACTGGATCGAGATGGGGCTCAGGTGAGTATTAGGGGGGCTGTAGGTGGAGCAGAACACAAGGTTTTTTCATAGAATGCATGAAAGTAAAAAACCTACCTTTACAACCACTTTAAAAGCCAGAGAGATATTTTGCTTTCACAGCCAACTTGACAAAAAAGGCAGATAGGTGAATGCTACCTAAACTAAAGAATCTTATGACCCACCCTAAAGACACGATTGTTGGATTGAGCCAAATGTGCTATGAAATGACCAAATAAGAGGGGGGGGGGGGGGGGGGGAGGCAGTGTAACAACAGTATTTCTTTGAAAGCCCCTTTTTGCCCTAGTGCATTATGTTCAGGCTGCGGTGTTGTGTCTTGCAGTAAATATAGCTCTCAATGCAGTAAAACAATGACTGGAAAAAACATTCCTATAAAAGATATGCTTCTCTCACCTGAGGATTTGACCCACATGAAAGGTCCATCTTACTGCTCCACCCTGTACTTGAATCATCTTTGCCACTGTGACCTGTAGAAAAAAAAAAAAAAAAAAAAAAAAGTCAGGTTCACTAAAGAAGAATAAAAATGTATGTAAAACCAATGTTGGAGCATGACTGTGTGAGGAAAGACAGTGCTACAGACAAATTATGGAAATCCAAGTCACTTTGTTCGATTACTTTCTGTGTGCTTCTTGTCTTAGTATAGGCCTTTTAGAACGTCAGTTCCCCTCAGTGTTTCCTACAACCTAACCTCTCAGCGTTGTCATGGTCACTAAGGAATTTAAAGCTCAACTAAATATAGATTTGGAATACATACTGTATATGGGATCTGTTAAACCCACATAGGATTTGTGTTTTTGTTTAGTCAGTCCTGAAATGTATACATCTCTGCCAGCCAGCACATACAAATGTGTACTCTTAAGTTATTTCTGTGAGTAAGCAATGAACCCTGCTTATATTGGTTCTAAAGGCAAAAGGTTTTTTGGGGGGGTTTTTTTACCTTAAAGCATTCTCTGTGGGACTCCAGAAGAAGACGATCAGGGCTGCTCTGTGCAAAACAGAGCAGGTAAGAATTACATGAGTAATTATTTTTTTAAAAAATCCTTTAGAAATCACTTTATCTTCTTGCCCCCCAGTCTATGACTGATAAGTGAAGACAACTGATAAGGCCATCTCTTTCGTTCTGTTGGCATGTTTCTTGTCAACACATGTGAACAGCAGTACATGGCTTAAGTTATGCCCTCGAATCCCAATGTTTATTCTCTAGCAGAGGTGCTCTGCCTGAAGATAGGTCAAAATCGGTCTCTAAGGACCAGAGACTTCTATTCAGTCACATAAATGGCACACATGCTCACCATTTTTCAGCAATTCTGGCTCTTGAGAGTCCACCTTCTCCTGAGAGAACTTGATGTGCAGCTGAGGATATACACGCCTCATTTTGCAGCCTGTGCTCTTTGCGTCTGCAGGAGGCCGAGATGGGAAGTGCAAAGACGCCATAGACAGCATGCCCTGGATCGCATCCTCCTCTATGCTGGTCGAGCGGAGACATTCACTACAACAGAAAAACATGTTTACTAAAAAGGAACTTACATCATATGTACAACAGAGCACAGCACGAGGCATACTGTTTAGGTGATCAAGTGAAGATTCTTTTAACCGCTTTAGGACCGCCCTATAGCAGATATACTGCTACAGGGAGGGACCTGTGAGCAAGATCAGGAATATACACGTCATTCTGCATTTCCGGGTAGGGGGCACGTGCGCCACCATTCACGGCTGCGGATGTCAATTACCGGGTCCCGGACGGTAATTATCCGCCAGTGCCTAGTGATTACCAAGCATCTCCAACAGGGAGGAAAATTGTTTTGTTTACAATCTTCTTCCGTCAGTTCGAACACACTGCTCGGGAAGGCTGTGCACAGTACAGCCATCCAGTTCAGTGTGCTTACAGTGAGGAACACACCCCATGCCCCCTAGTAAAACACTCCCAGCACACAGTTAACCCTTTGATCGCCTCTCACATTAACTCCTTCCTGCCCAGTGTCATTAGTACAGTGAGAGTGCTTTTTTTTTTTTTTTTTTTAGCACTGATCACTGTATTGGTGTCACTGGGGTGTCAGTGACACCAAGTTAGTTCCCCCCCAATGTCAGAATGTCCGCCGCAGTCCCGCTAAAAGTCACTGATCGCCACCATTACAAGTAAAAAAAGAAAAAAAAAAATCCCATTATCTATACTGCCATTTGTAAACACTATAACATTCACGTAAACCAATTAATTTACATGGATTGGGATTTTTGTTTAGCAAAATTTATATATCTAAATTTATTGGTTTAAAATTTGATTTTGAAATTTTTACTGGACATGTTTAATAGCAAAAAGTCCAAAATACTGCTTTTTTTCCTCAAAATGGTCGGTCTTTTTTTGCTTATAGCGCAAAAAATAAAAACCGCACAGGCGATCAAATACCACCGAAAGAAATATAAATTTGTGGTAAAAAAGGACAAATTTAATTAATTGGTGCAGCGTTGCATGACCATGCAATTGTCAGGTAAAGAAACGCAGTGCCGTAACGCAAAAAATGGCCTGGTCATAAAGGGGGGGGTAAATCCTAAGGAGGGCAAGTGGTTAAACTAAGCCTGGAGATGTACGTCTACATGGACAACTACAGACCCCTTACTAGATCTAATTCATATGTCTTTTACTAAAACTTAAGTGCCCTAGTGGACAATCCACCTAACACTAGTGAAAAATGATGTTGCGCTGTCCCTTTAAATATTTCATGAAACAAAAGAGGTAACAATTGTGTAATTTTTTTTTTAAATAACACAAAGTGCATCACTAACACAAGACTTTTCACTGATAAATGGTTTGGTGCACTATACATATATTTTTTAGCTTGTCAAACAGAAAAAGTCCTGTGTCACACGAACTCAATGCAGCAATGCCTTCGGACATCTGTGACCACTCACTTCTCCATCACTGTGTGACCAACTGCTTACCTGATGTATGGCCTCCCTTATATAGAGGTATCCAGGGCTCATAGTAATGGTAATACCATAGGATCAGTTTGGGTACAGCATGAGTGTTAGTGCACTTTAAATCTACCTGATTTCTACGTAACCGCAACTTTTGTTTAAAGGAAGAAAAAAAAAAAAAAAAAAGTATTCACAATGTAAATCAATGGACAAACACACACACACACACACACACATTTGGGATTTAATACTGCTTTAAAGCTGAATTACAGTGAGAAAAATAGATATTCAGCATGAACGAAATTGTACTAATAACCCTCATTTTCATAGTTTTACCTCCACTCTGTTACAGCAGCTTCCAGGCTAAGTAAGACAAAACAATCCAATAAGCACCAGAGTTAGACCCAGTGCACACAGCCTATAAATCTGGCATCATCTTCAGCTGATCATAGATAGACAAATGTCTTTAGGTGCTTACTGTGCAGTTTGTGGAACAAAGGAGTAGAGTGGTGAATGTGCAATCTACAAATTGTCTCAGCAAGAAAAGACATGCGTATGCCCCATTGTACAGAGTGAGAAAATCTGTGTGCAGTAACAATTGTCTGCACAATTTCGCACTGGACTGTGGGTCTGGTGGCAAAATCAGGGTGTTTAGGTTTGCCAAACGTGCATCACCAGTTATCACCTGCAAAAAACTGTTGCCATGGATGTACACAAGCAAGGGGAAAAAAAAAAAAAAAAAAAAAAAAAAAAAAAAAAAAAAACACACCCACACACACACACACCTTTTCTGTGGAGTTTCGCTAGCTGACCAGTAGAATCCATTGCTGCAGGTTGTGGTGTCCTCTTTTTTAACACTTGCTGTGTGCTCCTCCGGCTGCTCGTCACCTGAGCTGTCTGAATCCTCTGTGGAATTTTTCTGCTGAAGCCAAAGAAACAGACTGTGATGAACACTCAGACATAACAAACATTCCAACTGATGCAGGTTGGAATTATAGGCTTAGATATAGGTGTGTGTGTGTGTATATATATATATATATATATATATATATATATATATATATATACACATATATATATACACATATACACACACACACACACACACACACATTGATCAGCCATAAAATTTTGACCAGTGACAGCTAACATGAACATTGATTATTTGGTTACATTGGCACTTGAAAGTAAGTGGGATATATTAGACAGCAAGTCAACATGCTGTCCCTGACGTTGACCTGTTGAAAGCAAAAAAAAACAAAAAGTGGGCAGGCGTAGGGATTTGAGCAACTTTGACAAGGGCCAAATTGTAATGGCTAGAAGACTAGGTCAGAGCATCTCCAAAATTGCAGCTCTTGTGAGATGTTCCCGGTCTGCAGTGGTCAGGACCTACCAAAAGTGGTCCAAGGAAAACCCAAAAACAGCTGACAGCGTCATGGGCAGTCAAGGCTCAATCACGTGGCCCATGTAGTCCAATCCAAAAGAAGAGCTACTGTTATTCAAAGTTCTGAACAAGTTAATACTGTTTCTAACAGAAACGTGTCAGAACGCAAAGTGCAACAAACAAGAGATCCCTGTGCTCAAATCCATACAGCTAGTGCATGCATTTATCCATCAGGTGCTAAAGGGGTGTAACCACATTAACTCTAGAAATTCTGAAGGACCCTCTGCACACTGGTATATACCCTTTCAAGCAAACTATGCAACAAATAGGGATATTTGGTTCACACATATTGCAATACATGTTTACAATCAAAGTAATCCCTCTATGGCCAGTCCTACTAGGGGAAAAGAAAAGACACAATGGGGAGAGCTACAAGGTTCAGGTCTGGCTACTGACCCAACAATACAACAAACAAGAGATCCCCTATGCTAGCATTGTGTCCGCAGTAGCACTTGCGTAGGCAGGGCAGAGTAGGACTGGCCATAGAGGGATTACTTTGACGCAGTTGGCCAGCTTAAACATGTATTGCAATATGTGTGAACCAAATATCCCTATTTGTTGCATAGTTTGCTTGAAAGGGTATATACCAGTGTGCAGAGGGTCCTTCAGAATTTCTAGAACGCAAAGTGCATCGCAGTTTTTGCGTATGGGGATGCGTAGCCGCAAACCAGTCAGGGTGCCCATGCTTGCCCCTGTCCACAGCCAAAAACATTGGGCACGTAAGTGTCAGAACTAGACCCTGAAGTACTGAAAGGTGGCCTGGTCTGACAAATTCAAGAATGGTTTTACGAACACGGCGACTAAGGTGTTGATCTAGATGAATGAAGGGGGTTTAAGCTGAAAGTTTGTGTCCTCGCAGTTCTGCTTTAAACTTTTTTTTATTTTTTTATGCATGAAGCAGTTTATGTACAGTAACCACACTGTCCAAGAATAAAGGACCACTGTTCCTATATTGAATCATTGTTATAAAGAGGACAAATACAAAACAGTTTCAAAACACACAGGCTGCAAAGCAAGTTACACAAAGATTGGATATTTAGAATTTTTCTGCAGGTCCAAACTAAAGCTAAAAGGTTACCTATTTCTATAAATCTTTATTATGGTGGCCACACACAACTCAATTATCTGATTGATGCGTGAATCAATCAAAATGATCAGATTTCCAATCAAATTGCTTTTCCTTTCAATCCATTTAGATCACATTTTATCAAAGGGAGTCGACTGGCCAGGGTAGAAAATTTCTGATCGTTTTGCATTGGCAGTGCCGAGATACTTTAAGAATACTTCTGTATTTCAGTCAAACAGAATATGGATTTACATGGTGAAAACAGAGATGTAATTACTAACTTTTGATCATACGTTATGATCTTATCTTAATTATCAAATTCCACGTGTGTGTGGTATATGCACTACATAAGGTGATGGTAGATCTAAATGAGACTGTATAATCAAAATGTAATGTGTATAGTTAGCATTATTCATAAATGTGTGTATGCCATTAATAGTCTTTTTTCATTAAAACTTTTGAGAATAGTAGTCTTGTTGTGCATGTAGACAGTTGCTGCACTGCACTGCCTATATTTACCTTACCTTGGCAACTGCATCATATCATTCACCAATGGGAGCAAAGGCCCCATGAAAGTGCCAAGCCAATCTAGTTTACACATGGCCAAAAGACTCTTCCTAGCCCTTTATGAAAAACCTGGAGGCTAGTCAGTGGCCACACAGGCACCAAGTGTCTCATGGGAGTAAGGGGTGAGTTACATGTTCTCCCATAGCTGAAAGTACAAGGATTTCTCTCTTTTCCATGAGGCTGGAAAATGAGGAAGGGGCATTAACCACTTGACAACCGGGCTATAGCCAATGACGGCTACAATGCGGTTGTCCAGTTCTGGGAAGGTGTAATATGACATCCTCCCAGAACACGCCTCCCGCACACCCACACATCACGTGATGTGGTAAAAGGCCAACCACAGCGGCCTTTTACCACATGATCAGCTGTGTAATGACACAGCAGGTCACCGGGTAAATGCAGTTGCCGGTTGTTGGCTGCACTTTCCTAATGCCGTCACAGCGTGAGGAAAGTACTGCCGACAATTGTCATTCAAAGAGTGACAGCGCTGAAAGCTGAAAATTGGCCTGGGCAGGAAGGGGGTATAAGTGCCCTGTAGGCAAGTGCTTAAAGTGATCCTCTTGCTTTCCCTACAATGAAAGGCTTACTTTAGTAAAGCTGTAGTATTACAAAATATCCACTAGGTGGCGCACAAACTGCAGCAGGAGTGCTATGTGGATGTTGAACATTCCCACAAGACTCGGGAACATTTCTGGTAACACCATTAACATGGGATGGAAGCATGGTGAGGAAACTGAGATCATGAAATCTAATGATTAATTATTAACAAAAGAGGATTTCAGTATTGATTAGCTAGGACCCTTCCACACCCCATGGGAAGCTGATGAAAAGCATTTTCCTTTACCACATGACTTTCTACAGGCTTCCAGGACTGATCCTTGGAAATAAAGATAAGCAGCTAGTCACCTGCACACAAATCCTAAAAAATATGCTGCAGAACCACAAGTTCCATCATGGTGATTCATACTACCTAACTTGCTGTTAATATGTAATGTAGGATAACCTTGAAACAAATATCTCAGGTTTTGGTGAATAAAGGCTCTCCAGAAGCATATTCTATAGAATACAGAGGGTGGAGTTTTCTTTGTGGTAAGTGGGTGAGCTGGATGCTCAGAGACACCAGCAGTGATTGAGAATTGAGCACCAAACAGAAAATCTAGGCAGACAAAAGCATAAACTAGACAGTATTTTGGTCACAACTGCTCAGAATTTCACCATCAGTAACTTCAACCTCCTCTGACTGATTGTACACAGTAGTAAAATGTTGCTATTACAGAGTCATTACAGGCAACAAGTAACACCAATTGGCAAACCAAACCAAAGCAATCTCCTTGACCAGTTAGAATTCAGAGCTTGTGCCATGGACTAAGTTTCTTGAAAATTCCACTGTGTACTTTCTTCTCTCTCACTCAGACTGCTTTAACAATCAGATTCAAACACCCGGAGGCAGGAATGAATCTCACTGGTGGCCATAAGCCATGGCTTACTACTGGGATTTCTTTATGTAAGAAACAGCCAGTAACGGGAGCATTAAATGATAAATTCACCAGAACGAAGAGTGAAGAAAAATTGTGCACTGCAAAAATTCTTGGATTCAATCAACAGCGTCCCTTAATGCAAGACAGTGCAGCGGAGAGTGAAGCAACCGTTTTTAAAAATCAAAATATATGAAATAGGACACTCCCAAAAGTACAGGTGAAACTCGAAAAATTAGAATATCATGCAAAAGTTCATTTATTTCAGTAATGCAACTTAAAAGGTGAACCTAATATAGGAGATAGACTCATTACATGCAAAGCAAGATAGTTCAAGCCGTGATTTGTCATAATTGTGATGATTATGGCTTACAGCTCATGAAAACCCCAAATCCACAATCTCAGAAAATTAGATTACATGCAATCAATAAAACAAGGATTATACATAGAACAATATCGGACCTCTGAAAAGTATAAGCATGCATATGTACTCAGTACTTGGTTTGGGCCCCTTTTGCAGCAATTACTGCCTCAATGCGGCGTGGCATGGAAGCTATCAGTCTGTGACACTGCTGAGGTGTTATGGAAGACCAGGATGCTTCAATAGCGGCCTTCAGCTCTTCTGCATTGTTCGGTCTCATGTCTCATCTTTCTCTTGACAATGCCCCATAGATTCTTTATGGGGTTCAGGTCAGGAGAGTTTGCTGGCCAATCAAGCTCAGTAATCCCACGGTGATTGAACCAGGTTTTGGTGCTTTTGGCAGTGTGGGCAGGTGCCAAGTCTGCTGGAAAATGAAGTCAGCACCCCTATAAAGGTCGTCTGCGGAAGGAAGCATGAAGTGCTCCAAAATCTCCTGGTAGATGGCTGTGTTGACCCTGGACTTAATGAAGCACAGTGGACCAACACCAGCAGATGACATGGCTCCCCAAATCAACACAGACTATGGAAACTTCACACTGGACTTCAAGCATCTTGCAGTGTGTGCATCTCCATTCTTCCTCCATACTCTGGGTCCTTGGTTTCCAAATGAGATGCAAAAGTTGCTCTCATCAGAAAAGAGGACTTTGGACCACAAAACCAACTGACCAGGTCTGTTTTTCTTTAGCCCAGGTAAGATGCTTCTGACGTTGTTTGTTGTTCAGAAGCGGCTTGACAAGAGGAATACGACGTTTGAAGCCCATGTCCAGGATCCGTCTGTGTGTGGTGGCTCTTGATGCACTGACTCCAGCCTCAGTCCACTCCTGGTGAAAGTCCCCAACACTTTTGAATGGCCTTTTCCTGACAATTTTCTCCAGGCTGCAGTCATCCCTGCTGCTTGTGCACCTTTTTCTTCCACACTTTTCCCTTTCACATAACTTTCTATTAATGTGCTTTGATACAGCACTTTGGGAACATCCAACTTCTTTTGCAATTACCTTTTGAGGCTTTCCCTCCTTATGGAGGGTGTCAATGATGGTTTTCTGCACAACTGTCAGGTCAGCAGTCTTTCCCATGATTGTGATTCCTACTGAACCAGACTGAGAGACCATTTAAAGGCTCAGGAACCCTTTGCAGGTGTTATGGCTTAATTAGCTGATTAGAGTGGGACACTTTGAGCCGAGAATATTGCACCTTTTCACAATATCCTAACTTTCTGAGATTGTGGATTTGAGGTTTTCATGAGCTGTAAGCCATAATCATCACAATTATGACAAATCACGGCTTGAACTATCTTGCTTTGCATGTAATGAGTCTATCTCATATATTAGTTTCACCTTTTAAGTTGCAATACTGAAATAAATTAACTTTTGCACGATATTCTAATTTTTCGAGTTTCACCTGTATATCTCCAATTTATAGTTTATTACAGAACAAACCTACATTCGCCAAATCACCCCCTCTTATTAAGTGGCAATTAATACTCCAACACCCTATTCAGGAAAATCAATGGTGCAAAGCCATAAATAACTTCTCCTTATCTAAATGTTCTACACATTGGGAGATGTCCCACAAAATCCTCCTTAGATGGTATATTACTCCATATATTAAAGCAAAATTCGATACATCTAATACATTTAAATGCTGGAAAGGATGTGGACAAGTAGGATCCTTAATCCACATGCTTTGGGCATGTCCTCACCTGAGAAGTTTCTAGAAAGGTATCTACAGATTGATAACATCTATTACAGACTTAATATTGCAAGTTCCAGAGCAGGTGTAAGGATTAAGTGTCGGCATAGATAACATCCCAACTCAATTAAGACCACTAACAAATACATATATTGATGGCAGCCAGATTAGCTATAACTAGGAGCTGGAAATCCAATGAGCTTCCAAGCATATCGGAGCTTAAACATTTGGCATTAAAATATGAAAAATATATTGCATATAATCAATCTCAAATACGTATATTCCATGCACAATAGACTCTTTGGGAAAATGCAAGGTAACAAATCCACTTCATCTGGTGACATAAAAATCCACAGTACCCTTATTACCATTTCTCTTTTCTTGTAATTTTAGAGTGAAGCACCATGAAAAACAGCAGTTTGTTCTTACTTTTTCTTTTATTCTATCTTTGGTTTAACAGTTTCTGAAACCTCTCAGAATGTAATATGCTTTTGTCAGGTTAAGGCGTTATAAGGAACGGATTGCCAATGTATTGTTTGAGTAGGCATAACGTCGACAAACCTGCTATGTTGTAAACAATGTTAAAGAGGTTGATGCCTATATTGCATTAACCATATTTGGCTTGGTACAATGGATGTATCGCTGCAATACCGTACAATGTAAGTACTATTAAACTTGTGAAAATCAATAAAAATGACTAAATATATAAAAAAAAAAAAAAAAATCAATATAGAATCACAAACTAATTTCAGTCACTTGAATGTGCAGTTGAGGCTTGGCATACTGCCATGCAACTGCCTACGAGGTATGTTGGCACCGGTAGCTCAACAACTGCTAAAGACATGACAACTACTCAATGCTAGCCAAAAGTTTTGCTGTAGACAGCTATTATTACGTACACACTTCTTAAACTCCTCCAACTATTATATCCGTGTACCTGGTTAGTGCAATTCACTTCGGATCCTTCAGAATCAGAAATATCGGAATATTCTGAGGTTCCATTCCTGAGTTCCGATTTGACACTTTCGAAAAACACTTGAGGAAAAAAAAAAACAAACAAATCAAAATTCAATGACCAGCTACCAGGCAGTATAGAAAATGTATTTCAGGTAAGACTGACCAATGGCCTCACTTAAAAATCTAGTATGTCACTTGATGTTTTAAAACAAGACGAGATGGAAAAATGTACATGGACTGAAGGATATCAAATGATATCATCCGTGATATCAGAAACTAAAATCAATGGTGTTTATCTATGGTAATGATATTCAAACATTTAGGGCCCATACACTTAGGCTTAGAAGGGGCTGGCAAGTTCCTGTACAAATAGGTTGCAATATACTGTACACATGCAACATTTAAATGCTTACAGAATGCATGCAAAAACTGTCTGTCACCACTGCTCAGGTCCAAATGTACCCATCAACAATATGTAGCTAGCAGCGCCGATTCTGAATGACTGAAGGCTGAGGTCATTCTGTGCATACACCACCGCTATACAAATGCAATCATCAATGGTGTCTAAACAGAGGCACTGCTGGCTACACATGCTGATGTGTAAATGTAGGCCCCCAAGCAGCAGTGGTGGCCAATAAGGTCCATATACGCTGTACACATGGAAACGTTAGCACAATGTGCATACAAAATATGGTACTTACTCAGGAGTGTTAGCACAGATATTTCTAATTTTGGATTACACAGTTAAACCTTGCAGACAAATAATGACCAGTGTGCATGGGTTCACAGCTAAACACTGCTGTGCTCATATCCATAAAATTAAATTGCAGGTCTGTAATCCCGTGAGCATTAGCCCTTAAAAAGATAAGTTCACTTTACTAATGGACCAGCATACACCCCCCCCGATTCCCATTGTGACAGCTAGCGGGGGATCTTTTTTTCACCCTGTTAGTTGTTACAATTTAAAAAAAAAAAAAAAAAAGCACAACAAAGGCTGTGTGGGGGGCTAGGCCCGCCTGGCTGCATCACTCATCAACGGTATTCTGTGAATGAGAACACTACAAGTGCCAACAGCATTTGTAGTTCTCAATGAACTACCATGGTGCTGTGGAGAGCCCTGTTAATTCATCCAGTCTTCCTGTCAGTAAGCATCTTCTTGCCCTTATGAGGTGTACAGGCACACAGGTATTATGACAGGTCTGCAGGAGACCTGCATAGCACCAGCGATCTACTGATTGCTGGTGCAATGTTTTACAGGCTCCAGAAACTAAAAATAATGTGCATTTGTTATTTTTGGTTAAAAGGTGACCTTATCATTTAAGCATACCCTGTTTTGCAAGACCTACTATTAAGTGGTTTCTGAGCTTCTCCTTTGCCCTCGGCCTCCGAGCTGGAGCAAGGCTGCTCTGTTTTAATATCCTTGGATTTTCTCAACCTGGCGTGGTCATCTTCATCGTCGCTGTCTGCAGTGTACAGACTGCGGTCAGTGAACTGCTGTCTTTCATCTCTGTGTCGGAAGAACATGGAAAACTCATTAATAAATCAGGAACAGGCAGAGAGTGTTGTGGAGCACTGACATTACACTCTCACCTTTTCCAGGAATAAACCTAGAAAGCAGAACGGTGCAACTACAGAGCAGACCTACACCACACTCATTGTGCACAAGGGTTAGTCCACTCATAGCTTTCAGTTATACGTTTGGCTACTAAACTGGTGACTGGCTCCTCAGGCCTGTGCATTGCATCCTGGGGACCATGTCACACACCTTACACCCTCCATATTTAGAAGTACTGGGTATTTCCAAACATGGAAAGGGGAGTTATCAGAAAATGTTATATCAGCTTCTTCTACAGTGCCTTGAAAAAGTATTCATACCCCTTGAAATTTTCCACATTTTGTCATGTTATAACCACAAAAGTAAATGTATTTTATTGGGATTTTATGTGATAGACTAACACAAAGTGGCACATAATTGTGAAGTGGAAGGAAAATGATAAATGGATTTCGACTTTTTTTTTTACAAATAAATATGTGAAAAGTGTGGCGTGCATTTGTATTCAGCCCCTCTGAGTCAATACTCTGTAGCACCACTTTTCGCTGCAATTACAGCTGCAAGTCTTTTTGGGGATGTCTCTACCAGCTTTGCACATCTAGAGAGGGACATTTTTGTCCGTTTTTCTTTGCAAAATAGCTTAAGCTCTGTCAGATTGGATGAAGAGCATCTGTGAACAGAAATTTTCTTGCCATGGGAGGGGCAGTGACATCACCACGCATCCTTGCACGGCGAGCACTGGTAGTGTATGTGAGCACACCCGAGAGGCTGGTCTTCACCGCTTTAAGCGGCTATTATACAAAGTGAAGATTGTTTTTAATCAATGTGAGTGCATATTAAAGTGTTTATTTTTATCAACGATAAAGCACTATGCACTTTTCTCTATTTACATGATCCGTATGAGGAATGCTTAAAGGGCTGGATCAAGGAAAGATCTGAGGAGGGAGAGATCCATATGACCATTCACGCTTACATAGTAGCCCTCTATCTGCAACCTTCACCTGCATCACCTCAGGCTAATTGGAAGGAGAGCGCACACAGTGCAGAGTTCAGCAGGGATGAAATATCTAAGTTTGTTTTGCGTTTTTGCACAAAATGCATTGAATTTTTACCTTTTACTTATTTTCCATATTTTTAAAATTTTATTTTTGATATTTATTTATTAATTGGATTATTTAATCATCGAAGGACACAAATTTGAATAATTTTGCACAGACTTTCTTTTATCACTAATTTTGAAATATATTTTTTTTCATTTATTCATTATGATCAACACATGTTTGGGTATTGATTGGCATTACAATCATGTATGGTTACACATAAGAGATCATGCAGCTATTAGAGATTTAATGCCAATACAGTTTTTATACTATACACAGGTAATAGGTCTTGATAGAGCGCGGCATCTATATTTTCTTTATTTGTATGCACTGATAACTCACATTTATGAGGGTGAGCAAGATAGCCTGCGATCTTATTGATAGAAGCTGTTTATTATACACCTTATTGGCTCACAAGTAAAATTTTTTTATATTCAATTTTCTTGCCACAGATTCTCAACTGGATTTAGGTCTGGACTTTGACTAGGCCATTCTAACACATGAAGATGCTTTGATCTAAACCATTCCATTGTAGCTCTGGCTGCATGTTTAGGGTTGTTCTTTTGCAGACTCTTAACAGGTTTTCTCCAAAGATTGTATTTGGCTCCATCCATCTTCCCATCAATTCTGACCAGCTTCTCTGTCCCTGCTAAAGAAATGCAGCCCCAAAACATGATGCTGTCACCACCATGTTTCACGGTGGGGATGGTTTGTTCAGGGTGATGTGCAGTGTTAGTTTTCCGCCACACATAGCGTTTAGCTTTTAGGCCAAAAAGTTCAATTTTGGTCTCATCTGACCACGGCACCTTCTTCCAGATGTTTGCTGCGTCTCCCACATGGCTTCTCGCAAACTGAAAACAGGACTTCTTATGGCTTTCTTTCAACAATGGCTTTCTTCTTGCCACTCTTTCATGAAGGCCAGACTTGTGGAGTGTACCACTAATAGTTGTCCTGTGGACAGATTCTCCCACCTGAGCTGTGGATCTCTGCAGCTTCTCCACAGTTACCATGGGCCTCTTGGCTTTTAGTTAGGGGTTTTAGGGTAAAGGGGGCTGAATACAAATGCACACCACACACATTTCAGATATTTATTTGTAAAACATTTTTAAAACCATTTATCATTTTCCTTCCACATCACAATTATGTGCCACCTTGTGCTGGTCTATCTCGGAACTATGGCCCAGGAGCCAGATGCAGCCCCTTGCTTGCCTTTACCCGGCCCTTGGGACTGATACAAGACACCATTCTTCCTTCTGACACCAACAATAGGGAACTATTCCACCCATTGGCACCAATGATGGGGTACTATTCCTCCCACTGACACCATTGATGGGGCCACTAATTGCTCCCACTGACACCAAGGATGGGGCACTAAATGCTCCCACTGACACCAAGGATGGGGCACCAAATGCTCCCACTGACACCAAGGATGGGGCACCAAATGCTCCCACTGACACCAAGGATGGGGCACCAAATGCTCCCACTGACACCAAGGATGGGGCACCAAATGCTCCCACTGACACCAAGGATGGGGCACCAAATGCTCCCACTGGCACCAAGGATGGGGCACCAAATGCTCCCACTGGCACCAAGGATGGGGCACCAAATGCTCCCACTGGCACCAAGGATGGGGCACCAAATGCTCCCACTGGCACCAAGGATGGGGCACCAAATGCTCCCACTGGCACCAAGGATGGGGCACCAAATGCTCCCACTGGCACCAAGGATGGGGCACCAATTCCTCCCACTGACACCAAGGATGAGGAACCAATTCCTCCCACTGACACCAAGGATGAGGAACCAATTCCTCCCACTGACACCAAGGATGGGGAACCAATTCCTCCCACTGACACCAAGGATGGGGAACTAATTCCTTCCCTTGACACAAACAATGAGGAACTATTCCTCCCACTGACACCAATGATGGAACACTATTCCTCCTCCTGACACTAACGATGGGGCACTATTCCTTCCAGTGACATCAATGATGGGGCACTATTCCTTCCACTGACACCAATGACGGGGCACTATTCCTTCCACTGACACCAATGACGGGGCACTATTCCTTCCACTGACACCAATGACGGGGCACTATTCCTTCCACTGACACCAATGACGGGGCACTATTCCTTCCACTGACACCAATGACGGGGCACTATTCCTTCCACTGACACCAATGACGGGGCACTATTCCTTCCACTGACACTAATGAGGGGGCACTATTCCTTCCAGTGACACCAATGATGGGGCACTATTCCTCTCACGGACACCAATGATGGGGCACTATTCCTCTCACGGACACCAATGATGGGGCACTATTCCTCCTCCTGACACTAACGATGGGGCACTATTCCTTCCAGTGACACCAATGATGGGGCACTATTCCTTCCAGTGACACCAATGATGGGGCACTATTCCTTCCACTGGCACCAATGACGGGGCACTATTCCTTCCACTGACACCAATGACGGGGCACTATTCCTTCCACTGACACCAATGACGGGGCACTATTCCTTCCACTGACACCAATGACGGGGCACTATTCCTTCCACTGACACCAATGACGGGGCACTATTCCTTCCACTGACACCAATGACGGGGCACTATTCCTTCCACTGACACTAATGATGGGGCACTATTCCTCTCACTGACACCAATGATGGGGCACTATTCCTCTCACGGACACCAATGATGGGGCACTATTTCTTCCAGTGACACCAATAATGGGGCACTATTCCTTCCACTGACACAATAATGGGGCACTATTCCTTCCACTGACACAATAATGGGGCACTATTCCTTCCACTGACACCAATGATGGGGCATTATTCCTTCCACTGACACCAATGATGGAGCACTATTCCTCTCACTGACACCAAAGATGCATTGTTTACTCCTACTGATGCCAGGACAGTTTAACTCCCACTGGCCACAGTCCAGCCCCTTAAAGTCTGAAAGCCTTTGAAGCCCCTGGTCTATCACATAAAATCCCAATAAAATACATTTATGTTTTTGGTTGTAACATGACAAAATGTGGAAAATTTCAAGGGGTATGAATACTAAGACACTATATCAGACAAAATTCCAGCTCCACCCACCTGTATTCCACTGTACAGAAGAAAACATCTGCCAGGTTCATTAAAGCAAATCATATTCATCAACAAAGAATCTAACTAGCCATCTTTCTTTGTAAAGTCAGCCATGAGACCAAGTGTTGTGCGACTGGAGAGCTAAAGTGGTACACCAAATGACAATCCATCAGATTGTTGAGTTTTCGTTTAATTACCTTATTATCTTTCCATTGGAAAGCAGGAGCCGCATGTCATTATCCCTCATTTTCTGATCAGGGACAGTTGAAGACGGCTGCAGTGGCCTGTTAAATTTCATGTTCAACTTGTAACTGCCCAAGTCCTAACAAAACAGATAATTACAGTAAATTAGTCTTCTTGTCAGAGAGTTTTCAGAAATGTACACTTTATCAACATCATATTTAAAGGCTATGGACATTCAAGTATTTACATAGATAAATAGATGGTCTTAACCACTTCCCGACCGGCCGTTGTATATAAACGGCCGGACGGTGGCACTGCAGGGTCGGGTGGCCGTCTATAAACGGCCTCCCCGCACCCTGCTTGTGCGCGCTCCCTGGGAGCGCGCAGCACCGCGATCCGGTGCCCACTGTGTCCTCCGGACACAGTGAAACACCGATCGTCGGACGGGACCTCTGTACGAGGTCCCGATCATGTCATCACTGATTGGCCAATCAGTGATCACATGCAAAGTAGTAAGCAAGATGTCACTTGTGACATCATTGCTTACTATGTGTGAAATCTGTGAATGATCACAGAGGTCACATGGTACAAGGCTATTCACAAAAGCCTTGTACCATGTGACAAGCTGTGACCAATCACAGCTCACTCTGTATTTCTCAATGAGTGCAGGAATGCACACAGAGAGAAAGAGAAATGATTGCTTTTACATCCTATATGGGTGTAAAAGCAATCAGTGTAAAAAAAAAAAATCTTTATCACCCCTCACAAGTAGTACAGTGTCACCATGGTGACACTGTACTGCTAGGGTGACAGTATGTAAAAAAAAAAAGAAATAAAAAATAATAATATAAAAAAATAAAATAAAAATGTAAAAAAAATGTTAAAAATTATAATTTTTGCTTATAAAACTAATTTGGATTTTTTTTTTTTTTACTAAAAAGATAACGGAATAAATTTTGGCTAAGATTTATGATGAAATATTATTTATTTGCAAAATTTTATAAAAAAAAACACTTTTTTAAAAATTTTTTGGACATTTCATTTACATAGCAAAAAAAAATACAAATCCCAGCGGTGAATAAATACCACCAAAATAAAGCTTTATCTATCTAAAAAAAACGGTAAAAAATTCATTTGGGTACAGTGTTGCATGACCGCGCAATTGTCATTCAAAGTGTGATAGCGCTAAAAGCTGAAAATTGCCCTGGTCAGGAAGGGGGTAAAAGTGTCCGGTCTGGAAGTGGTTAATGAAGGAAAAAAAAAAAAAAAAAAAAAAAAAGGTCTCAATTACTTCTGTAGCTGCAAATACAGTGGAGTAAATTCATCCTCAACGTTTGCAACAGAGGCGGTGATGTAATTCTGGTTAGGTCTCATTACTCTATCTCCAGTCTTCCTGTGCTCCTGCTGTGTTTACATAAGAGATAAAAAGGCTGGCAGACATCCAAAGTCAATGTTGGGAAGGGGTAGCATGGAGACCTTGAGCGGTTAAATTACTGCTATAGAGGTGAGGCAGGGGTAGCTAGGTTTTCAAGATACTGTTGAAAGGGAGATGCTGAGCTGATAATTTACTACTGGAGAAAGGCAAGGGGGTGCAGCAGGGTGAGCCAAGTTGTCTAGTTCACTGCTTTGAAAGGGGAGCTGATGAAAACAAACGTTAGTAGGTTTCAGCTGTAGAATTTGAGGATGAATTACTCCACAGCTGCTGCAGCTACACTGGTCTGTAAGGGCTTCTTTTATATCCCATTTACTGCTTGTGAAGAATCTGCAATGGGGATAACTTCTCCAATGTGAAGGAAATCTCCTCAGACTGTTGTCACTGGAAGATTTCCCCTCTATTCCTGTTTTGGTGAAAACTCAAAATTTTGGATTTTATTTTTACCTTTAGTCCTAGTGAAAGCAATGAAAGTGAGAGTAAATCTCCCAACAAGAATACCCACTTGACTTCTGGAAGATTTATCCCCCTTCATGGCCAGGCCAGTTTATGCGATACGGTGCTGCTGCGTTAACTGACAATTGTGCAGTCATGTAACCCTGTACATAAATTAGTTTTATATAATTTTTTCCCACAAATAGAGCTGTTGGTGGTATTTGATCACCTCTGGGTTTTTAATTTTTTTGTGCTAGAAACGAAAAAAAAAACCCCCCCAACAATAACAAAACAACATTTTTTAATTTCTGCTATAAAACATATCCAATAGAAAAAAAAAAAAGTTAAAAAAAAAAAAAAAATCAAAAATTTCCTCAAATTTAGGCCAAAATGTATTCTGCTACATATTTTCAGTAAAACAAAAATCCCAATAAGCGTATATTGATTGGTTTGCGCTATAGCGGCTACAAACTATGGTATATATACTGGATTTTTTTAAACCAGTAATGGCGGCAAACGGCAACTTGTAGCGGGACTGCAATATTGCGCCTTACAGTCTGACACTGACACTTTGTGGGAACCGGTGACACTAATACAGTGATCAGTGCTAAAAATATGCACTGTCACTGTATTAATGACATTGGCTGGGAAGGGATTAAACATCAAGGGAACTAAAGGGTAATCTGTGTGCCTAGCCAGTGTTTTTGCGTTTACTATGTGCTGTTTTTACTAGGCAATCTGCTAGGATTTTATTCCCTGGTTTGTAGGGAAAGAAAGTATATCAGATCGCCGCTGACAAAACAGCACAGAGCTGTGTTCTGTCAGTCATCTAGGCGATCAACAGGTACTGCCACTCATTCATTGGTCGGCACCTGTTGAACAGCTTCTGCGGTTTCCAATCACAACAGAAGCGGCACATATGCGCCCCCTGTGGCGAAAATGCAAAATCACGTTTATATACGCAATTTTGCACAGAATATACACCATGCAGCAGTAAATCTGCTATAGGGCGGACTGAAAGTGGATACATAAAACAACCTATATTTGGATACAAAGTCTTACCTTCAGATACATGTTAATCCTATCTGATCTTACTACTGATCCATTCTACTTTAACACATTGCTTAAAATTCAAGTAGTGGGTGCCTGTGGTTTAGGATCAGTCTGCTAGAGTACACCAATGCTGTGATAATCTAAATGACATTACTATCCAGCACCACTCCCAACCCAATTTGTCTTTAGGTTGCAGTACTGTGGGGAAAGACTGACCTCTTCCCACGGAGACATCTCTAGCCTCTTCAGCACCTCCCTGGTGTGATGCTCCAGGATATCGAGGTTAGAGGGTGCTTTGTTCGAGTGGTCACGCAGCCGCCGTGCTTTCTGCTTGGAATGATGGGAGGATTTCTCTTGTGAGGATCGGGAGAGCGGGCTCAGACTGTGGATTCCCTGAGATTTGACTGGCTTGCTCCCCTCTTCCTGCAAATCATAACCATAAGTTACTTTACAAATGTAATGATTAATTCAGCTTTAAATTTCTATCAGTACAATATATAGTAATGCAAATACAATAATGAGCTTTATGGCACGTGCTCACAATGCAAGTCTATGAGTTGACCAAACCTTTGAAGTCGACAATGGCTATTAAATCTTCACCGTTTATACAGACAAGTTTTAGGATTTAAATTTCTTTTTATTGTAAGGGCAGAGTTACATTAAATGAAGAATCAGACAAAAATCAAGCACAGAGCTCTATCTACCACATGCTCTACAAATCTCTATATTTATTAAAATAAGTATTTTTTTAAAGATCAAGTGTGGAAATATGGGAAAACCACAGCAAAATGAATTTAAGATGATCTTGTGGCTATGGGCATTCAAATATTTACATATTCTCCACAAGTAAAGGAGTTGAAAACAAATGCTCACTGACCTCTGTAGCCACTATGGAGCAATTCATCTCCAAAGTTCACAGCAGAAGCATAGGAGCTCTCCAAATCTGTTCACTCTGCAGCTCAGCCTCAACCAATCCCAGCAGTGACTCAGCAGCCTTCTAATCTCAAATGTAAACAAAGCAGATGCTTTGGGTGTGGGGATGGCTGAGCAATTTCTTGTTAGGAGAGCACATTAGGCTATGCATCTGTCTCTGTTTGGAGAGGAAATGGTATGGTACAGAGCGGCGATACCCTCCGGAACGCACCGCGCACCAGCCACTGCATTATAAAGCGGCGGTGGCTGCCTTGAGTGGACCCTAAGCTGTTGAGTCACTGTGGGAAGGGGGAGCTGAGATGCTGAATTAATGCTGAAAGGGGAGAACATAGATGTTGAAAGAGCAGATTTAGATGATTCCAGTGCTGTGAACTTTGAGGAAGAACTGTTCCACAGTGCCTGCATCAACACAGTTACTGGTGAATAGTTTTAAAACTAATTTACTCTTGTTTATAATAGGTTAATACTTAAATTTCTGTAGCCTAGCAGCAGGTAAGGTGTTAAGGTAAGAGACTGCAGTTAAAACTATATTTAGGTGCTCATAAAAAAAACAAAAAAAAAAAAACAAATCAAAAAAAACAGTACTTTCCCTTTAGATGTGTTTTTTTCTTTAATATATAGGTCAAGATTTTTAGAAAATATTTAAAAAAAAGAAAGTCAACACATTATCAATTGTCTATCTTCACAGCACTCCTTATGCCTGTCCAATCAAAGAAATGACAGTACAGCACAAACACGCTAATGTTCCTTGTAGTGAAAACCTTAAGCGTGTTTGTCTATAATACACCAGCAGGTCTGACAATCATTATAGATCTGTCTCTCAGTAGGGCTGAAGTGGCAATTTTCGTAATCTATTGGGACCTGTGGTCCTGAGATGCTCTATGTGCTGGATAATTGAATTTACAGCTCCCCTGACAAAAACCAATGCAGGAAGCCGAACAGTCAATACGAAATTGTTTTTGTTCCACCGTATCAGGCAGAGACATTTAAAGGGGAACGAACGTACATTTCAGGTAGGTTAATTTTTAATCTTGGAGCAAAAAAAAAACTTTTTTTTTTTGTGGTTCCTGTCCCAATTATGATCATTTTGGACATGGATATTATTAGCTCCTACAAACATTGACTAAATGTTCAAATCGGCATCCTTACTGTACAGCAAAAGCCACATAGGCATTGTATTCAGGACCATCGAGTTTACTTAAAGGCATGGTAAACATTTTAGCCTGCACCTTGTGTTTTTCACCTGCTTGAGATGAGCACTGATCATGTTGTTTCACCGTGTCATTAATTTCCCTAAATGCACAGACTAGAACAAAGTAAATGTTCACATTCCAGTGTCAGTAGTTTCAATTTGTGTTAAAGCGATAAAGTCTTGTTTAAAAAAAAAAAAAAAAAACCCAAACATGTCATGCACAGAGCAGCCCAGATAATCCTCTTCTCCGGTCCCCCAACAATGCTTATGGCCCCTCCCTCTTGTTGGGTGCCCCCACTGCAAGCAGTTTGCTATTGGGGCACCCGAGCAGGTGCCGTCCTAAGCCATAGCTCTGCATGTTCATTCAAACACACAGCCGCAGCTTGGCCCCGCCTTCCCTCTCCTGATTGACTTCCTGGCTGTGATGGACAGCCAATGCTGCCGCAGCCAATCAGGAGTGGGAGTTCCCGGAGAACCGAGGCTCTTGTGGACAATGCTGGATCGGGATGGGGCTCAGGAAAGTATTAGGCGGGAGGTGCGGGCTGCTATACACTGCAGTTTTTTTTACCTTAATGCATAGAATACATGAAGGTAAAAAAACCTTGAACCTTTAAAACCACTTTAAAATGCTGCATGGCACTGTGCAGGTTTATTCATGACCTCTGTTTGTTGTGAGACTCAACACTTCCTGTGGAAAAACTACATATATCACAATACCTGGGTCTCTCAGTATAGTGATTGTGTAGGTAAGAGCTACAAAATAATTAGATTTGAAAGACCCAGGCAGGCGGAGCGTTCACAGACACACAGAGAGCTCACTTGTGCAAGCAGATATGTTTCATCACATTACCACTTCCACATTTGTGATGCAACATAGAGGGTTCACAAGGCATGCTTTGGATGCTGTGTGACCTGGAATAGGAAGTTGTCATGTCCCCTTGGTGCATAGGGACCAGGTAACTGACGTAACACATGGATATAGGAAATTGATCAGCCACGACACTAAAGATTACATTCATGACATGTTCAACCCATCATTACAAGGTAAGGCAAAAACCACAGGCAATATAACTATACCAATATCTAGTTAGAAACAACATTTGAAAGTGTAAAAAAGCCTTAAAAAAAGAAAGAAAAAAAAAGGTTTCAGAGTGTCCCTCTGAAAGAAGTCAATCTAACAATCATCCTTGCTAAACAGGCCGAACTTTGATCCATATATGGCCAGCTTAAAGTGTTACTAGACCCACAAAAGTAAAATCAGTCTGTATATGCAGTAAAGCATGTTTGTTATCCTCACTGTGGAACATAAGAGGTTAATCCTCTGCATTGTGTAAATAGGCTGTTTGATCTTATCTTCTCTGATTCTCCACTTCTACTGTTCCCAATTGATCTGCTGATAGTACAGAGCTCTAGGAGTCACTCTGCACATGCTCTGTTTGGTGTGTATTGCTAAAGAGGATGCAAGTGATCAGCACAGGGACAATCAGCGCTGTCTAGAAGAGGGTTGGGGTTTATGCAACCTCATAGGACAGTCAGAGTAGAATGAAAACTCCTACAAGCTTTAACCAGTGCTCACCTGGACACTGATAGAAGTCACGAGACTGCTATATACTGCTGATGAGAAAACGTAGTTTGCAATTTATATTTACTATAATTATTGCATTTCCATGTTGTTTACTGTGGAAGGCAGATATAGTGAATGCAGGTTCATGAGTTTATTAACACTTTGGTGCCTCCTGGACAGCACAATCATAATTATAAAGCCTGTGCAACTGCATCAGTCTTCCTCTTAAATTTACTGAATTCATATTGTCTAACCGATTTCAAGTGTTTGTACAGAAGAATGATGCTAAGTGTTTTACTGTAGCCTGCACTATGAGGGGTACAACACATAGCTGTGTGTCTGGCGACCCGCACAGAGGATGGAGCAATAAACAGTCCAGATGTATCCTTAATCCACAGCAGAAACTCAAAATAAAACAGACGAAGAACCGAGCATTGCTGCCCTCTTCAGCTGCATTTGTAAACAGCTGACATTTCAAGATCAAATAAAAATGCAGAGAAAGGGGAATTGTAAATTGTGTGAAAAATATGCAGGAAATTATATTTCAGCATCACTTTCTCTTTAACATGTTTGGTAAAATACTAGTGTTGTAACACATGCAGGTTTTAATTGATTAAAAAAATATATAAAAATTGTTTTGTTGTCCTCTTACCTCTACAGAGCGAATCACTTTAGACAGCTCTTTAATAAGATGCCCAGGTCGGATGTTGTCTGGGATTTCGAAAGCATGTTCTGCTACAGACTGGAAAAAAAAAATCCATTAGCCCTTGTCTACTTGAAGTTGAAGCCCAATTAAACATCCAGTTTAAACCACCCAAATGCTTTCCAGATGCATCAAATAACAAAGGTGTTCGTAGCCTTAAAGTTTTGTTTTCTTTACAAAGCAGCTGACGCTTGAGTATTAAAGTAAATGCTGTGTGGAAGCAGGGGAACCTTAGTAGAGCATTAGCTTTGCTGATTGCAGAGCTATAGGTCTGACTAAGCAGAAGGTGTGCTGGACTGCTGCAGAGAGACCACTTCTTTCAAACAGAAAGCAAGAAGGGTCCTTCTCTGAAGCACGCTGGTAGGGGAAAAGCTTCTCTATTGAGGCTACAGCCACTTTCTATAGACTTTGCACCATTTTGATTTATGCACCTGGAATGTTATTTAGTATAAGTGGAGAGTTCTATTGGACTTTGAGTGAAATTAGGCATTCACGCTGAGTAGCTGGACTAAGTGCTGGGGAATCTTTGCACTTTCCACACCCATCTGTCACATCAGGAAAGTTTTTGCAGTAGGTCTCAGCCAACACCAGCACTGCCTCTGACTGAATGAACATTTGTACTACATAGATGGTGTTGCTACTGTACATCACCATAAAAATGTTCAGAATCTTTACAAATATTATATGCGGTCATGACTTTTCATGCAGGAACCCTGTAATTCAAAGTAAACTCACTTCTTTTTTCATCCAGCTTTTCAGTGCAGTAATTAATGCTTTCACACCTTGCTTCAGATAGTTTGGAGGATGGAAACCATCTTCTCTTAGCTCTATGGTAAGGAAAGCAAAAGTCTGTCAGCATGTGTCACATTGACACCGGCGAATGTTCTCAAAGAGAATTAATCTAGTCCGAGTATTTTAGATAAGCGTGTAAAAGACAAGGCATTCCAAAATAATTTGTAATTATTCATAAGTATGGGTGTAACTATATTAGCTCATCACATTTTCAGGCTCTTACTCCTGCTTTGCAGCATTACACAATGGTTTTGCTTTACTGCTCCTCTCACAAACCACAAAGTCTATGAGTCGGCTGACACACTGAAAGCAATGCACTCCCTGTGTGGCCAATATCCTACGGTAACAACTTATAAATACAGAGAGAGTACTGAGCCACTAACAGATCCCTCTACTTGCTAATCTACTTTTGTATCCAAAAGAGGTTTTATTAGTATTGAAATGGTCAAAAACACACACCTATGTGACGGGAGTGACTTTTGGGGGTGGGGGGACCTCTGTATCATCTTCCCAAATTCCCTTTATGTTTAAGGCACCCTATGCCTGTTAAGGGGTACAGGGTGTGTATGTTAATGGCTGAGTCTTGTGTATAGTGTGTGTTCCTTTGTTCTCGGCCACATGGCTGTCCATTGTCTGTTTGCCATGTGCTACCCCCCATTGTGCTGTGTCTTCCTGTCCAGCCAACTATTATGGGATGTACTGTTTGTGTATTGATGTGGGGGTTGGTCAATGTCCTTTACCATGTGTTTCATCCCATTGTTCTGTGTCTTGGTGCGATGGGGTGGGCTGATGTGTTTCCTGTTCCTGGTTGTCTTTCCCCGCCCTCTGTATATATCCTGTGTTTTGTGTACAAAAAAAGGATTGGCTTTCTGTCTTAAGAAGAGCTGGGTGCTGTCTATTTCCTGAGGGATTTCAAGGGTGTGGTCCGTGGATGGTGTTCGGACAGGGGAAGCTGCAGTATAACGGAATATACCCAAGTGCGGTCGGCTACCGGTTCCGTTACAACCTATGTATCCATATTCAGACTAAGGAATAGAGTAGACAAGGTCTTTATGACATAGCATACTCAAAAGGAATATATTACATAGACAATTGGCAAGTTATCAAATTCCTGAAGCCAAATATGAGACACTTAGCCACAGACTGTTTGCAGTGCAAAATAAAACAGCAAAGCTCACATAATTAGAGTAGGATTGGTTGTGAAACCTAAAATAAAAATAAAAAAAGTGTTGTGAGCCAACTCAAATACAGGCATTAGTACATTAGACCTAAGCCAATCTAATTTAACAGTAACAATGGAAGCATAACATAAAAAAAAAAAAAAAAAAAAAAAAAAAAAAAAAAAAAATGGGACAGTAATTTAAAAGCTATTTTAAGAAGAAAAAAAAATCCACACACATGCCCATTGAAAATATGCTCTGCTTTCCCTATAAAATGAACACAGAAGTCCAGCAGACCTATGGCGGTAATGTGCCACTTATTTATTATTCTGGTGGGCGAGGACAGTTAAGTAAAAACAGCCAGAAAAGCTCCTATTTCACACACCTTGCTTTGATATCAGCTACAGTAGCCCTTGACAGTCTTATTCATGCAGAGCAGTGTTAAGTGTAATTGAAAAGCTTCCACTGCGAGACCGTAGAAAAATCATTTGAATTACTTCACTAAAGGGTAATACATTTTACACTGTTAGAATATCATTCATTCCAAGCAACCAATTACCAAGGTGAATTTTACTGCAGGGCTGAGTTTTTAGCCTTCTGTAATACAAGAAGTTTATTTTTTTTATATTGGAGCTTTCCATGATCCTACTGGAACAAGCTGGCAGAAGCTTGGAGCTGGGCTCTGGAGCCCCACAGTTTGACTGGGCTATAGGGATTTTAGGTTATAACTGCAGTCTTATGACTCAGAGTTCTTGAGGTCTAAATGCTTATTCATATTCTCTCCTCGTCAGAGCAGAATTGTCAGTCTGTCTGCTGTAAAATCACGCTTTCACAGTTCTTTTAATGGACACTTTTACGACTGTTAAATAATAAAAGGTACTGTCAGGATAACGTGGAAGAAAACTAAAGGCTGTCTTCAACCAGCAAACTGGATAGTGTCAGTTATCAGTATCAAGCAAGAGATAGGACCCATATAGCCAGACACTAAGCTGCCAATTTTCAGCTCTGACAGAGAGAAAATGCCAGTAAGTAACAGCACACACCGCTATTCCTGAAAAGTATATCTACAGTATTCTAGAACTAGTCATTCCTGACTATTTCTTCGCGTTAGATGACACTTTACCTTTTAAAGTTTCAAGTAAGTTTTTGGCCACAAACCAACAAATCGCCTCGAAAAAAGGGAACTTGAAGAGATCTGGGGTCTTCAGTCTTTTTTCCATCTCGTAACACCTGGGGAATAGAAGATCGGTCTTTACTAAAACGAGAAAGGAGAACCACAAGAAGCAATTTTTAACCCACATTAACACTTTTTTTTTTAAAAAGGAAAGTGTTTGTATGCATGTCAATGTTCAGAACTATAAAAAAATTTTTTCTAAAAAATAAGCAGTGAAGTAAGAAATGTTAACCTTCTACCGCTGGCCACTTAAAGAGTTCTTGGGCTTCACAATCATGTGATAACTTTTATTGGCTTCCACAGGACCCCCTCCTATAGGCCCCTAATCATAACTAAGTGACCGGAAGCTTACCCTTCATCCCTGGATTTTTCCTTCTACACCACTCCAATATCCCGCAGAAATTGTACAGATGGTCAGTTGTGCAACACCTGGTCAACGTGGCTTGCTCCTCCATCGCTGCATTATGGAAATCGTCCACAGTGCCCTTGCTAGCACTCTGGTTCCATAAGGTTGAAGATATAAAGCTAATGGACAAGTGCTGTATGGGGTACAGAGGAAAAACCCCGTAAAATGTGGTTCACTGGAAGGTGTACTCCTGCACCACAGTTTCAACAAACCTATGCCGACTGATTGCATGCTGGGGTCTTATCGTTGCTCCCTATGGGGTTCTTGGTGGGATAAGGGTCTTAACTGTCACCTGTGCAGCAGTGATGTACTCTGCACCATATGGACTAGTTATCTCAAACAAATATAGTCAGGAATTCTCATGCTCAGTTCTGGCCAGGCAGGGGGTTGGGAAAGACAGAAAACCCTCCCTCTCTAATCTTAATCCCTCCCATTTTTTTCCTCCCTCATCTGTCCCCACCATGTTTCCACACCCCCCCCTTTTTTTTTCCTTTCCTCTCTTCTAAACTTGGGCCTTCCTACATTCCCTAAACTCTATGGCCTCTGGCACAGGGCGATTCCCATTATAGTGGAGTCTATGCTATACATGGTCTTACATAATGGTTTGAATAAGTTCTCCACAAGTGTAGGACTTTGTAGGACTGCCCCTACCCCGAGGACCCCGCATTCTGATCTCCTGACTACTTGAAATCCCTAACTGGAAGTGTGCTTGCTTTTTCTTTCTCTGTTTTGTATCATGTTTTGTATTTGATATATTTGGTTCTTTTTGTAAACATTTCGCAAAACAATATTAAAGGCAGAAGGCAAAAAAAAAAAAAAGTGATTGGCATCTGTCAGTGACAGCACAGTCAGTGCTGGGGGCATGGAATGAATGTTCCAAAAACAGAGTATTTTGTGCCCTTTCGAGACTATAGGCCATTGAGGACTAGATGCCCCTTCTAAATTTAGAAACATCAGTACGCCATTTTTTTAACATTTAGTCCCCCCAAAGGGACAAAAGACACGTAGTATTTTGCTCTACCTCCCTAGGTACCTTTTAACCCTACCTGCGATGTCAGACAGGGTGCCACCCTGGAGCACTGTCTTTGCCGAAGCAAAGCCCTGGCAATAGAAATACAAAGGGAGGCAAGGAGCGTCAAATTATCATCGCTTTGCACTCATCTTACCAGTGCTTGCCTCAGGCAAGTGCTGGGAGCCAGAGATAACAGAGTGAAATGTCACTGACACACCAAGGATCTCCAATGTGGGTCCAAAAAGGCTTTAGTGAAGGTTTACATAGTTACAGCAAGGCATGGAGCCAGAGTTAGGCACTATAAAGCAAAGCAGCCACTCTGCAATGTTGGGCGACTGTGCCAAGGAAAAAGTGCCCTGTCCGGAATCACAGCTAGTCTTAAAGGCACGTAGAAAGATGAGACAAAGCACATCATCTACTTTGGTAGATGTGCTAATTATTCTTTAAATTGACAATAACTCCACCTATATAATGATTTATTTGTATAAGGTCTTTCTTTTTTTTTTCTTTTACACTGTGATTGTAGCAGAAAACTGCAAAATTAAACAAATAAAGGAGGACCATGATGCAATGGTATATTCAATCTAAAGGTTTATTTTATAATGCAGTGGCATATGCAATCCAGAGGCTTATTTTATCAATGAACCCTAAATCTTGCATGGGATCACCATGTTACAGCAGACATAGTGATCACATGAAATAATAATAATAATAGAAAAGCGCCACACCTGTAACTATAAATAAATGCAAAATATATATAGCAGCAACTCCAAATCCCAAAAAATATTTTGGCATGAAAATGAATATAGGAATGCGCTAATACTTTAACCACTTGCCTACCAGGCACTTATACCCCCTTCCTTACCAGGCCAATTTTCAGCTTTCAGCGCTGCCGCACTTTGATTGACAATTGCGCGGTCATGCAACATTGTACCCAAATGAAATTTTGATCATTTTTTTCTCACAAATAGAGCTTTCTTTTGGTGGTATTTAATCGCCACTGGGCGCTTTACTTTTTGCGCTATAAATTAAAAAAAGTGCAAAAAATTTGAAAAAAAAAAAAAAAAGTTTGTTTCTTTTATAAAATTTTTTTCATACAGGTATTTTTTCTCCTTCACTGATTTGCGTTGATGAGGCGGCACTGATGGGCACGATATGCGGCACTGATGGGCACTGATAGGCAGCACTAAAGGGCACTGATAGGCAGTACTAATGAGGTGGCACGGATAGGCGGCACTGATAGACAGCACTAATGAGGTGTCACGGATAGGCGGCACTGATATGCAGCACTGATAGGCGGCACTGATAGGTGACACTGATGATGGGTACTGATAGACGGCACTGACTGGCATCACTTCTGGGCACTGACTGGCGGCACTGACTGGCACAACCCCTGGGCACTGACTGGTGGCACTGACTGGCAGCACTGCTGGGCTGCACTGGTGGGTGGGCACAGGTGGGTGGCACTGGTGGGCACAGGTGGGTGGCACTGGTGGGTGGGCACAGGTGGGTGGCACTGCTGGGCACATGTAGGTGGCACTTCTGGGCACAGGTGGGTGCACTGCAGAGTGGCACAGGTGGGGGCACTGCTGGGAACGGGTGGGCGGGGCTAGTGGGCGCACTGCTGGGCGGAACTTGCGGGTGTCACTGCTGGGCACCGATCATCAGGGCACTGATCATCAGTGCCCTGATGATCGGTGCCGATCCCCGCTCTGACAACTGCCGGTTCTCGGCAGTACTTTCCTCACGATCTGACAGCGTGAGGAAAGTGCAGCCGAGAACCGGCACTTGCATTTCCCTGTGATCAGCGTGTCATTGGACACCGCTGATCACGTGGTAAAAGGCCGGTGGGATCGGCCTTTCACCACATCACGTGATCAGCTGTGTCCGTAGGACACAGCGATCACGGAGATCGCCGGGTGCGCACCCCCTGGGGCGCGCAGGAGAGCGCGTTCTGGGAGGACGTCATATGACGTCCACTCAGAACTGGCCGGCCGCGGTGAAGCCGTCATTCGGCTATGCGCGGTCGGCAAGAAGTTAAATAAACAACCAATTTAAAGTGTCCATAAATCAATATGTGGAAACACCATAAAAAATCATAACGCCATGATCAATCCACCACCAGATAAATTGGATAAACTCACCAGAGCTATATGCTGATCAGATTATAGACCAGCATAAGCGCTATTGCTCTGGGAGCGATGAATGTAGCAATTTCCAGACTCTTTGATGCAATGCTCTGCAGTGGTAAGTAAATTTCCAGGTAATAGGAGGCAACACTCTGCAGTATAGGCAATATCCGGACTTTAAGGAGAAACACTCTGCAGCCAATCTTTTATAAAATGAACCTTTTCATGAATCACCAATCTCCATAAGTTATGGGACCACACTCCAAGACAAAGAGAAGACATAATGGTGCAGTACCTTGTGATTGTCGGAGGTGTTTGGACTTCCACATATTGATTTATGGACACTTTAAATTGGTTGTTTAAAGTATTAGCGCATTCCTATATTTATTCATAGTGATCACATGATCGGGAACCAGTTGGGTCAGCACCTGAAAGTTAGTGGAGACAGCTGGGATGGTGAATCACCAGTTACATAGTGTTGGCTGGTGGCTCAAAAATGGCATTGTCCTGGAAAACAAACATATCACGGATAGAAAGGAGCTAAAGTACTAACCAGCAATACCTTCTCTAATCTCAGCAAACAGGGTTGATCTAAAATTTAGAAATTGTGGAGGAGATCTCACCTGAGCTGCATGCCAATGTTTAGGTTGTGCAAAAAGTTCCCACCATAGGCCATGCAATCCTGAGACGTGAGCACAGCGTGAATCCAACCTGCAACAAGAAACCACCCGTCAGAAAAAACTGTGCTCTAGTGAGCCAAGGGATCTTCAACCTAGAAATCAATTATTCTGAAAATAGCAGGAAGAACAAAAAAAGTACCTTTTACCTGCTAGCTGTTATAGGTAATTTAGGATGCTTCCAACAAATGAAATGTTCTTATAAAAGTGAAAAACAGCAAAAAGTGACCTTTCTACAATAACATGGCTATCCGCCTGATGCTCTGCATCAGAGTCACGTGATCACCTGGCCTGCCAAAGATCCGCACTGCAGGCATCAGCAGTCTTCATTCACTTGAAGACAGCTGAAAGTTCCAGCATTAGATAAGACATGGGCACAGACTGATGCAGTATCTCTATGTTAGGACTGACAGGTAAGTTTATGTTCATTCCAGTAGGTGATTTACCCTTCCTCAATGTTTAAAGCAGACCTACATTTTTAGTGTAAGTCTTAAATGGGCGGTATGACAAATTGAAAGCTTTTGATTTTATCTGACAATGAGTGTCTGTGTAAAGGCAGAGGTGAGAAAGGCATACAATGGAGCTTTGGAAGAAACAAAAAAATTACAAAGTGTTAATAAAGCTTTGGTTTTTTGTTTTTAAACAAACATCCTATAGGTATCCTGCCCCTCCTCTTATCAGGTCCCCTGCTGGCGCTCTTGACTCCTACCCTGACAAGTGCCCCCAATAACAAGCTGCTTGCTATGGACGCACTGATACGTGCTTGCTCCTGAGCCCCGCTCTATGCGTCTATAAGACACAGAGCCTTGGTTTAGGTGCACCCCCCACTCTCTCCTCACTGGCTGTGATTGACAGCAGTGAGAGCCAATGTCTCACACGCCTATGTCCAATGAGGAGAGGGAAACCCAAGGCTCCCGTGCACATCGCTAAAATCGAGAGGGGGCTGGAGCAACATGCAGAAGGTTTTTACCTTCACGCACAGAATGCATGAAAGTAAAAAACATTCAGTCTTTAGAACCACTTAAATCTTTTTTTTTACTACTGTTATATATGTGAACTTTATCCCTGGCTCTACAATAGCCAAATGCAGTGACGTGTCAAATTTGTAAGCATTCGACTAAAGGGTGTTTGTATACTCAAACAATAAGTGTGGTTTCTACCATAACAAACCCTTTAACTGCAATTAAAACACAATTCTTACTTTGGAAAAACATGGAGAACTGGGCTGTTCTCCATAACACCCTACCATTTGTTCATCATCATGGTTTTCATACCTCAAGTCCACCAAATGGCCCTTGGTTGCATGACCATTAGCAGTGATATAACAGTTCTTGTACCAAAACAGTGGAGACTGTTTTATGCTGGAAGCACTACTTACCTGTTGGGACAAAGAGTGTGTGACCTTGCTTTACTACACACTTGTAACACTTGTCCACCTTATCCCCAAAAAACTCTTCGCTTTGGGTAACAGACGAGCTCCATGCTTCATACTTTGCCAAGTTCTCATCGGTGGGCTTTATCAAGTAGAAAATCTTTTCCCCCTAAAGAGTAAATCAATAACTGGTCAATAAATTTTATTTGCCCGGATATTCAGTTATGGATTTGTCAGCTAATCACACACATATTCTACTGGTGAGAACTGAGTTCCTGGGTCTGCACACCTGCTGCACCCCTATTGGTGGGTTCCCACCATCACATCTGAACTCCTTAGTAATTGACTCTTTAGGTTCAGTTCACACTGCTGTGACCCCAAAGTCATGCGACTTGTGACTTTTATAATTTAACATTTTAGCAGTCTATGGCACTCAAGTCACACCAAAGTTGCAGAAAAGTAGTGTTCGAACCTTTATTTTGTCGCTGCAATTTTGACATTGATTAAGGTGGCACCCATTGAAATGAATGCGCTTTGATTATGTCATATGACTTTCTGTGTTTGTGTAGCAAGTTGCATGATAAGTCGCAGCAGTGTGAACTGGGGCTTAATAAGAGTCAACCACATTTCTGTGAACTGAATACATTAATTTGTATCCACAAGTTATAATGTAATATCCTCCGGTTTCATTTTATTTTTAAAAGCGCTCACTACTGTCATTGCAGACTGGGGGGCTTCAATTCTGAGTAATGTAGAAGAGGGGGTGGAGTGGGGTTACAAATATATTTATCTGCGTAACAAAAAAAACTGTGTGCTCTACTCATGTCAAACAACATCAGTCCACCAACACATACAGACTCCAAAGCACTTATCCAAGTGTCAGCTGGAAGCAAGAGAGGAGAGGCTGAGCACCTTGCTGGACTGACTACCTTCTGACAACTGAATTAAAAAGGTAATCTGCCTCAAACTATTAGATGGAATGTTTCCTAAAGCTAAACTTTGGGCACACAAAATATTATCTTGTAAAAGAAGCAGTGATATCACTGTGCTTTACATAATCTTCGCAGACAGCAGAGCTGTGGGAGGGGCCCAGCAGGCTCCACCCACCACAGGCTTCCTGCAGAAAACTACAGAAAGAGGTGGAGACAAGACCAGTCACCCTGCACTAGAAGAGAGAGCAACAGTGAGCGGTCTTTATTACAGGCAGCACCTACACACTGGATTACTGCCCAGATCTGGAGCACATATACAAAGACCACCAAGATTTAAGTGAGAATACAAATGCATCTTGTATTTAGATAATATTTTCTTTTACCAGAGTGTACTTTTAAAGTATATAAAGCAAAAATGTTTCTTCTAGTTCTGCATAAAGTAGATACAGATCACAAGCCCTGTAAAGTTATTTTTTTTATTTATTTTTTTTTTATTATCGGTGTCTGTATCCCCACTTACAGATTCACCCTCTGTATATGTCCTGGAGACCAATACCACAAGACAGAAAATTATGGGAAACTACTAGAAAAAAAAAAAAAAAAAAAAGGTAAGAGAAAATCTTCCAATAGGGACACCTGATCCTGTAGCTAGGAGGGAAATTTCATTTTACTTTCTATACTGATTTTGGTAAATCTTAGCACAGAGAAGAGACCACAAAAAACAAACAAAACTGGTAGGGATTTTAACCCTTTCCTGCTGTATCCAAAACAAACATCCTATAGGTATCTATAGGTTTTTTTTTTATTTTTTTATTTAATATATGTTTATTGAATATTTTTGGGTTGTGTTTGCAGATAATTCACTGTATTGGCTCACAGGTGGACAGTTGGTTTTGGATGCAAAACAAAGTTTTGGTTATACATATGCTTGAAGTGACAGTTTATTAGGCCATTAAAGCATACCAATTAGTAGTAAACAGTCATTATACTGATAAACCTGCAACATCTTCATTTTTACCTGCATGCCTTGAGAGCCAACAACAACCAATATCCAGGACTACAAAGGGGTACGATATATAGACAGGTGTTTGGAGTCAGGTTGAAGACTGCAATGAATTTTGACTTACTGGAGAAATGGGTTGAAACGTCCCAGAGTGTTCCATCACCCACATCTAACCAAATATTTTTATTTTCTTTTAGTCAGATGCTTACCCACAAAACGTGATACCAGACAGAAGTGCCTCCAAAGTCTATGTGGAAGTCAGTGTAGCTGTCCTCTACCCCCATCAGACAATACTTTTGAACGAACGGCTTGGTGAAGACAGAGTCATCAGGCCAGTAATTCTCCACCCAAGACAACTTTTTACTGATGTCCGGCACTTTTACTAGTTCTGCCATCCTGAAAACACAACAGAAAACAAATTCTGCTAGGCATCCACATGAAGAGAGTTTGGATGGTAACTGAAGATAAGCCGTTATTAAAAAAATAAATACCAAACAAAACATTCATAAAGACAACAATGAAAAAAAAAAAAATAATAATAATCCATGTACCAGAAAAGTGTTCGTATTGTGCATAGTAAGAAATTGGGGTCTACCAGTTGTTTTGTTAGGCAAAAAAATCAAAGCAAATACCTCATATGTTAGAACACGTAACAGACTCTTTACTGACTACCACGAACAAGTGGTCCAACATCTTTTCACACCACAGCAAACATGCACTTTACTCCAGAAATTTGGCCAGTAAAAGCAGATTCTGTTTTGTTGACATTGAGGCCCAGCAATGCTACTAACTTACTTGGTGTCAGAGAACTCCAGGCTGATGACGTTTAATACTTTGGGTCGATCAAGGTTCATAAAATACTTCACAAAGTTCTTCAGCTTCATCTTGCTATCCGCTTGTCTGGCAACATCGATGACATCAATAATCTTCTCTCCGCCTGTAGAGGATTGCATGAATTACTGCCTATTACAACAAGCCAGGAGTCTATGCAAAATTATATAGGTCTGTATTTAGCCATTTTCCAAAAATCTTGGCGCCCTCTATGTTGTTATAAAAGTTATTGTCTGGATAAGCATATTAATTGACTGTTTCCAGAAACCAGAAGTAGGTTTTGGGATATAGGTTTCCATGCAGTAAACAATATTTGACTTATGAAGGTATATATCTAAGAGAGGAGTTCTTCATTCTAAAACTACGTGATCTAAGTCAGTTTGCCTGAAATACAGTGTTAATAGTATTAGGAACATCATTCCAATACAGGAATAATTTGGGGCACCTCCATAGAATAAGTATAAGGGTGTCTGTATCTGTCTCACATTGCGCACAACCTTTCCACTGGTTTAATCTTTGCAAAGTATGATAAGGCCTATGTAAGATAAAGAGCCATGAAAGTTTAAATTTCAGCTTTTTCTATGGGAAGCATTTATCATTTAAAAAGTCAACAGCCTGCAAAAAACAAAACATAAAAAAAAAAAAAACCATGGCAGTTTGGCATGTCTGAAACCCCACTTCGTTGTGAACTTTGAAGAGGTTTGACAATGAATTACTTCACAATACAAATCAGCTAGAGAGGTCAGGAGTGGTTAAATTTAAAACGCATTTACTGCTCAGTAAGACTGTAAAGTTTTAATGCCCATAGTCTAAAACCAGATGCATTTTAGGCCTCATGCAAACTGGGCTTAAAAAAAAAAAAAAAAAAACTGCTGCTTTTACAGTTTCTTTTTTTTCAGCCTGTAAAAGCACCTCTATGTTAGCTTATGTTTCCATACACACATACGCATTTACAGGTGTATTAGAAGAGAAGCGTTTGCACCCCGAATGAAAACTCATCAAATGCGTTTAGGAGAAGAGCTGAAGGAGGAGGAAAAAAACAAAAAACAAAAAAACAAACCTGCGGATCGCACCTAAACACGAGATGCGTTTGAGTGTTAATGGATTTTATTGGCCAGAATATGAATTTATTCTGGCCATTAGAATGCATTAGCACTCAAACACTTGATGTGCCTAGACACGTGCATTATATGCTGCTTTAAACACTTTAATCACCTTTTCTCTTGCCATGAGTTTTGGCATTCAGAGGAGCAAAGCAAATGCCCTGTGTGCATGAAGCCTAAGGGATATTTATTTTGTATTTTCAGTGTGTAAATATTCTGAGGTATTGTAACATTTAGCACAGTTTTCGCTGTAACTTTACAATTTGTAATTTCTCCCTCTAATCAAAGTACTTTTCCTTTTATTCCAAAATGATTTTTGTAGACTTGTGGATAGCCCTGTTCCTTGGGGCTATTTACCTCTATGCAGAAGTATACAGTCCAAAGCATACTGGTCAGATCTAACATACTTAATCCTTTAGCAACCCGCCCCAATGTCCCTTTAACAGGGTCTTTATGCCCAGGATGGGGCAGGGGGGCGTGGAGGGGAAAGGGATGCAAGAAGGATCTCCTGACCACTGTGATTGGCTCCTGATCATATATAAAGACCAAAAGCTGTCGGACAGCTACGGTGCTGTGTTGGGAGCATGCTTTCAGCAAAGAAAGCTCTGCTAACCATGGACTCCCACCCTCTTTGCACCGCACATATGCGTTTCGTGGACAGCAAGAGGTGAAGCTGGCCATACACAGTTTGAGATTAAAAACATGGGTTAAAAATTATCAAACATACAGTGGCTGCAGTCTATCAGATGAAGTAACTATTTAGGTATTCAGGCAGTTGTGGATGTTGCAGCTATCATAATACAGAAACAGTGGCGTTGCCACCATCCATGCTCTTTAGCATGCTGAATGCATGAAATCTAGCCTTGTATGGCTAATTTTACACTGTGAGAGAGAAGCATTGAAGCACAGTTAGACTCCATTCACACTTGCACCACTCCAAAGTTGCACTCTGATCTGACTTTACACTCTCTGAATCAAAGTCACATCAAAGTAGTGCAGGCACCTTTCCAAAGTCATTCTAACTAAGTTGAATGGACCTGAATGGGTTTCATTGAAAAGCATGGGCTGAGACTTTGATGTCCAAAGTCACAAAAGTGTGCATGGAGCCTACTGGGCAACATTACTAATCAAAAAGCACAGACTGCATATGTAATGAGCGAATACTGATGCCCTCATGTACATATACATTTACAATCTATTTTTTTTTTTATCTATTAAAATACAGTTTTCTCTGTATAAGAGAGATACAGAGATATAGCTAGAGATTTTATATACCTATAACACAATAAATATATACACACACAGTTTCCCTTCAAGCAAAACAAAATGTAGTCATCAGAGCAGGTGTAAGACGGCTGAAAACAAGGGATTACCAAATAAAATGAAGATATTTGATACGGAAAGAGCAAAGCATCGTTTCAACGACACCAACATAATCTCTGTGCTCTCTAGGGGCGCCGAACCCCCTACACACTCCTGCCATGCAGCTTTTACCTATCTGCACACATCCCAGACTGAACACATTAAAATGCGTGTCACTTCACCCATGGGCATTGAGCCATCTGCTGCTTTTATGACAGCCGTGCCCGTGCTGAAGCTGCAAATAATTGCATCGATAAAGTCCAGATAAACAAGTATGAGTCGGGATCCCATTCCAGACGTAATAAGTGAGCCAAATTAATATGGGAAAACAGCCAAAAGCAGATTAAAAATTCTGTGCTTCCTGGAACATGGCAAAAAACACTGAACGAGTGAAGAACATACTGCAGATTAATCCTACAGAGATGCCGCCACGCCATTAAACAGGCGCACAGGGATGGGCTTCCGCAAAATATACAGTTCAGGCATCACGATCTAATCATGTCTTGTATGTGTTTCACATCTGTCTTTTCAACACTTTGCCGAAGATTTTGTTTGCCCATACAGACGGGGAGCTTTCGGTTTATACTGGCCTACCTCAACACAAGTTAAACTCCATGGAAGTTATCCTGACAAAATGTAACAAAAACAGGAAAACACTAAAGAATGCTGCAGTAACCATATCTGTTCTGTAAACTAGTGGACCTAGGTGGCCCACTGGCAACTGCAGCATAAATGAATGAAAAGCCATATCTTTGTCCAGCAGACCACCAAAACAATTCTTAATTTCAGACACAGTTGTGAAGGGTAAGAGTTTCTGCCAAGTTTTTACTATTGCCAAGTTCTCACTGTTGAGCTTTTCCCTTACTTCTTGACCTGTTGACCTCTATGGGAATTAAAGGGGATTCTAATGGTAACACACTGCAATAAAACCTGATGGAGGTTCTAACCCTTTACCCACTGTACTAAATAACAAAATGCATTTGTACTGTCTAGATCAGCAATGGGCAAACTACGGCCCGGCGGACCTTTTAATCCGGCCCGCGGAGCTAGGCTCCTCTCACAGTCCGCCCTGAAGACCGGTGTAGCATGAAAATCTGTCTCCTATGAGGATCTGTCCCCCTCGACGTATCTGCGCATGTGCCGGAGATCGCCGATCGGCTGCTAATGCCTGAAACTGGCACATGCGCAGATACGTCGAGGGGGACAGATCCTCATAGGAGACAGATTTTCATGCTACACCGGAACGGCGCGGGAACACGGCGAGAGGAACGCGCGGAGCAAAGGTAAGTAAATTGACACAGGGGGGACTTGGGTCTTAATATGGGGAATGAATTACTATATGGGGGGGATGAATTACTATATGGGGATGAATTACTATATGGGGATGAATTACTATATGGCGGATGAATTACTATGCTTACTATGGGGGAATATTACTATACTTACTATGGATGACACATACACATCATTCATCTACTCTTGGTCCGGCCCCCGGGTCCAATATATGAACCCATTGCGGCCCTCAAGTCAAAAAGTTTGCCCACCCCTGGTCTAGATCCTTCGATATTATAAAAAAAAAAAAAATCCTTCTCATCCCTACCCCTAGGCCCAGGCCTACTAAAGTAACTTTGATTTCTGCTCAAATCGACAATAAGGCTCAACTCCCAACCCCATTCATCCTTGTTCAACTGTCGTATGTCAGAACTTTGTAAGTAGAGGCCACATGTTCAGGACGCAAGGGTGCTCTACAGGGATCGACCACAGCAGTTAACCTTCAACCATTATAACATGCTTACACTTGAGAGCACTGTTACTTTAGAAATGTTTAAAGCCCAACTCCAGGTTTGCCAAAGAAATAAAAAAAAAAAAAAAAAAAAAATCACTCCATTAGGTAGAAAAATAAAAAGTTGCTTTGCTGAAAAACTCAGTTCCTCTCTAGTGCTATCCTTCCAGAAAGTCCCACCCATTCATCCTGCTGCTGGTTTTCCTGGGTTGAATGCTACCCAGCTGCACTTGATCCTGTTGCAGTGACGACATCTCCTGAATGCAGCCAAATCCTGTATTTCTCTTCAATGGAAGGACTCACAACCCCTGTGCATTGGACTCTGGTTGCATAAAGTTGAGGAGTTAAATTATATGGAAGATCTTGTACTAACACCAACACAAATGCGAGGTATACACCAGGATATGGACCATATGGAACATGTTCATATATTCTGAAGAGTGCTCTTGGATCAGCAAGAGCCACGGCATTCAACAGTCGGTTTGGCTCACTGTGAGAAGACACTTGCAGAGTTACCCACTCTTGACAAGGTATCTACCCCCCCCCCCCCTTTTTCCTTCTACATTACTCCATTCTTGTCCTCATCTCCCCTTTAGTTTCTTTCTTCTACTATCTTAAAAAGCTTCTTCCTCTCAGGCTGACCCCATTTTGAGGAAAGGCAAGAAAACAATTAACAGATTCCCTCATTATATCCAGAACACATGCCGATATGCATTCGGAAACAATATTAGACTTCCTGCCTTTCACAGATGTCCGATATTTCCTGGATACCTATGGCTGTTATTTATATCTCTGACATATTATGGAGCTCCATTGTTTATGTATGTATCTTAAGTGCAATGGACTTTGTAGTTTTGTATTGTTTTCCACTGATGGAATCCGTTGTCCTTTTTGATACATAAATAATTTGAAGATCTTGTGAGATCAGGGCATCATGCATCCGTTCCCAGTGGGCACGCCATTGTGTTGCCCTCGGCTTACAGTACTCCTGTACTAAACAATGATTACAAATCCTTACATTCGCTACAGGACTAGGGACAGACAACCACTGTAGGGAAAAGACCCCATGCATCACAAGATCAAAGGGGATAAGGTCTCTGCTTAACCTGCAGTTTGACTCTAAGCCCATGGCTATCCTCACAAGGCAAGAGGTATGGATCATGGACAAGGCAAGAGGTATGGATCATGGACAAGGCAAGAGGTAGTGATCATGGGCAGAAGAACAAGATTAAACAAGAGCAGCAGAAATGATACTAAGTGCTACTAAAACAATGGAAGTGTCTTCTTACCGACATAACGCTCTACGTCCATTACAGAAAAGGTTGGAGGCGGCAATCTGAGGCCCAGATCATCTAACTGCGGCACCATAATTGGAAGGTTGAAGCCATGTTTCTCCAGGTACCTCTGTGTCAGTTGGCTACCATTCATCCGCAATATAATCTCATCAGCACTACAAAAAAAAAAAAAAAAAAAAAAAAAAAATAGTATTCTGACATACCAAAGTTCTTCTTGCAAGAACGGTTGTGGTTCCTAATGACCAGATTCTCAGATTTCTGGTGCTACAAAGACACAAACCTTGGAAAGGACCGCGCTCGCAGCTGCTGTACAAAGGTTCTTGTTCCGGCTTGAACTGGCTTTGTCCCATCATCGGACTCTGTATAGTCATGTCTATGCCAATTCCTCCTCTTCTTCACTAAAGATTAATAAAAACAAAATAAGTTAGTAACTACAAAGAAAGGGCAAAAAACACCAGAAGGAACCCCACAGCTATACTGCTGAAATTCATACAGAGAAAAGTCAAAGTACTCAAGTTAACTGAAAGACAAACATTTCTGAACCAGGAAAGAAAACATTATTCCAGAGTGGTTTCCAGAACAAATGGCAACACAAATTAACTGGTACAGTCGCAGACAAAGCGTACAAGAGAAAATGTATTGGTTTCTAGGTGGACACTTAAAAAGAGAAGATTGGGATTTAATTTAAAAAAAATCATACTTACCTATGTGGATGCAGCATCAGTCCAATGCTGAATCTGTTCCCTGCCAGCTCTAAGTCTAGGTTCACACCTATGCAGGTTGCGCTTGATCCGTTTCTGCAGTGCTTTTTGCGGTGTGTTTTGCGTTTTTGCACTTGCGTTGGTTTATTTTCACATTTTTTTTTAAATTTCTTGTTGCTAGGCAGATTTTAAATGCAAAAACCGTATCAAAAACGCAATACATGCTTTTCTGCAGCATTCCCATTTAAGCCTATAGAACCAAAAAAGCAATGTTTTGCATTCAAAGAAGTCCCAGACCCTTTCCAATAAACGCACCGGGTAAAAAAAAAACACTCAGATGTGAACGTGTCCCATAGGAAATCATGGTAAATGGACTGTACTGTGTTTCTGCAAAATGCTGCAGAAACCGCTTAGGTGTGAACCTAGGGTAAGTGTGAGAATGTAGCAATAACATGACTGCTGATGACCGAGTTCTCACTACCGCTCTGACCAGACAACGGTGACTGTCAGGCTGGGCCAGGTGCTGTGCCAGACTCAGGGGGGAATCCATACTTTAAAGTTGGACTGGCTGAGTGACCTCAGCCTGCTATCAGCTGAAAATGGTTCACAGGAGTGCAGAACAAACTGCACTCCTGTGATCCACAGGAGAATTACAGCCAAAAGAGCTTTGGCTGTACTTCTCTTTTAAAGTGAACAAATGACAGAATACAGTGCAGGGGCAGCAAATCTTAGAGATATTTTGTAAAATTTAAGGGTAATGTATCACACTTACTCAGAACCTTTATATTAAACCAATAATAATTAAAAAAAAAAAAAGTATACCCAGCAATAGGTGAGCACATTCTCAATTATGAAAAATATAGTTTAAAAAACTGCCTAATCAAATCTAACGTGATCAACCTGATACATGGCTAGCGGAATTTAGGAGCTAAATTTAAATAAAGTGTAAAGAAACCAAAAAATAGCAAATAAGAGACGTTTTATTGTTTGCTCCTTTTGATCTGTTAAATAAACCGAAATTTCATCGAAAACGTTTTCTTATATCTTTTTGAAAAGTGCCAATAAATACCAGTTCATCCTGCCAGGATTCCAGTGCTGTTTTGTACACTGTGCAGTTAAATGTCAAATAATGTTATCAGTTCGTGTGTTCTTACAATTTTTTTTGTCAGAGCGAGTCTGGTTTTTAAACCCCAACCTCTGCCAAATTTTCTAGCCCCAATATGACAGCCAAGGCCTATTTGTGAGCAAAGTCTGATATCTTTTTGAGTGCAGTCTCCATTCTTATAAAGAATCCGCCATGATGCCTGTGGTGTCACTAGTCCCCTAGTGAACTATTCATAGGAATGCACAGAGAAGGCACTCAAAACCTCACAGCAAACAGGACTGGAGATGGGACTCTTCCTGCTGATATAGACTGGCTCCTGATTTCTATATTGTTCAGTTCCCCTCTGGTTTATCCAGTTTCACGGGAATAAAACAGAGTAATAAAACAAACTCTATACATGCAATCTCATCGAGAAGACAAATACAACTGCTTCGGTAATGGTGCATGCCATTACAATTTTGACGGTGTTACAGTACAAAATCCTCCAGTGAATTGTTTTCAGCATGGATAGAAGTTGTAACAGGCAATACAGCATACATGACTATGAAATGAAAAAAAAAAAAGTCTGTTAATCTGAACATGATATACAAGAAAGCATGCAACAAAGACAGTCCGACATGTATGAGGGGGACAAATTACTTTGTCACTTTAACCTCTTCGCGCCGGCGCCTCCCTGCCCTTTAATGGTTTCAGAAGCCGGGAGGCAAGGCGGGGTTTTTAGGTTCATGTGACCGCCATGATTCGCCGCCACATGATCAGAAAAGGTCCGATCGAAAGAGATTGGGACCTTTCCAGAAGTCGCGGACATATGTGCTGGGAGCGCGCAGGGTGCACGCTCTCAGCACATATGCATTTTCTAATTGCACGCAAATATGCGGCCGCTCGGCGTCAAGGCACAGATTTGCATGCGATTGGAGTCAAGGGGTTCAAGTTATGCTATAATAGTAAGGCAGCAATTTCAACGTTAAACTTTATAAATTTTTAGCTTTTTTTCAGCAATATAAAATCTTTGTTTTCCAACTAAACATTCTTAACCACTTGCCGCCCAATCACAGTAGAACGTTGTGAACTTGCTTTCGGGTTTGCGGTGCACATGCACAAGCCGCCTGCTGACCCTCACTGGGGTTGGACACAGCATGACTTTGTCAGCAGGTGTCAGCCAATGATTTATAGTTGAGCCCTGCTGATCAGCTGTGTCCAATCACAGCACAGTTTCCAAACACAGGGCTCTGTACACAGAGTAGCGATCGGGCTGTTTTGAAAAAAAAAAAAACAGCTAGATATTTTTAGGCCCCGTTCACATGTGACGGTTTTGTAGCTTGAAGCTCAAAAATGTTCAGCAAGAAAAATCACATTCACAGCTGAGCATTCTGTTAGTATTAGCAAAGCTGGACAGCACAGTGGCTAAGTGGTTTGCACTTCTGCCTGGCAGTACTAGGGTCGCTGGTTCGAATCCCAATCACGGCACCACCTGCCTGGAGTTTGCATGTTCTCCCTGTGCCTGCGTGGGTTTCCTCCAGGTACTCTGGTTTCCTCCCACACTCCAAAGACATGCTGGTAGGTGAATTGGCTCCTGTCTAAATTGGCCCTAGTATGTGTACGTATGAATGTGAGTTAGGGACCTTAGATTGTAAGCTCCTTGAGGGTTAGGGACTGATGTGAATGTACAATATATATGTAAAGCACTGTGTAAACTGATGGCGCTATATAAGTACCTGAAACAAATAAATAAGTCACTCCATACCTCGCATTTGTGTTGGTGTGTTAGTACAAGATCTTCTGTATAAATTTAACTCCTCAACTTTATGCAAAATGCCTGTATTACTCTTCTAAAAAATGCCTGTATGCACTTGCACAAATGCTAAAAAAAAAAAAAAAAAAAAAAAAAAAAAAAAAAAAAAAAAAAAAGCACATAAAAACTCCTAAAGTCAGTCTGTTCAGGTGTGAATGCAGCCTTAGTAAAAGCAGTACATATTACCCACATTACACTTGTTAGGCACACAAATAACCCCTTGATGTTAAACCCTTCCCAGCCAGTGTCATTAGTACAGTGACAGTAGACATTAGACAGTATTATATCTGATCACTGTATTAGTGTTAATATTGATGTCAGTCAGTTAACGTACCTCCCAGAAAGGGTCTGTTTGCACCAGATTGCCAGCCACAACCACAGTCACACTATAAGTCGCTGATCACCACCATATAGAGTCACAGCTGCGTAAATTCCAGTATATATACACCACAGTTTGTAGACACCATCGCTTTCACACAATCCAATTAATATAAACTAATTGGCGCTTTTTTTGGCTAAAGACCTGTAGCAGAATACAGTATGAACTACGTTTATGAAGTTAGATTTTTTTATTGGATATGCTTTATAAACTGAAAGTAAAAATAACTTTTTTAATTTTGCGTATTTAGTGGTGATTAAATACCATCAAAAGAAAGCTCTAATTGTTTTGTCTAGATTAGCCCCAGTATGGATATATATGAATGCAAGTTAGGGACCTTAGATTGTACACTTCTTGTGGGTTAGGGACTGATGTGAATGGACCAAACAAGAAAAGAGAGAGAGAGAGAGAGAGAGAGTGTGTGAGTGTGAGTGTGTGTGTTAATTGATGTGTTAATTAACTATTGTAATAATCTCAGAATTTAACTTGACTTCAGCCTCTTATTCTCTGTACAGCACCACTCAGACTTGGAGAGGGTAAGGCAGGATTTGGAGACAATCAGGTGTGCTGCATTCACCTGTGCTGACAGAAGATTTGAATTTCATCAGTCTGTTGCTGTTCCAATATCCAATTACAGGCTGGAGGCAGAAAGCTAATCTAATTGCATTGTTTATCTGTAGCAGAGAATATTAGGTCACCAGGCCGCCTATGCCATGTTGCAAGGCTGTGTAAATCTTAGGACTGGATAGATGAAACTAAATTCTTGGGCAAGTAAAACAAGTCATGTTAATCCATTTTAACGGAATACTTAGCTGGTATTATTATAATAATGGATTTATATAGCACAAACAGTTTGCTCAGCGCTTTACAATATAAAGGGAGACAATACAGCAACAATACAGTTCAATACAAGAGGGATAGGAGGGCCCTGCTCCTTGGAGCTTACAATCTAGGAGAGGCTGGAGTTCGGTTTTAAAACATGATGGTATTTGGTCTTGGTCCCAGTCCCTAGTGGAACTTCTAACAGACCTCCTAGCTGATTTTTTTTTTTTTTGTAGTACACATACTGTATATTACTTAAAAAAAATCAAAAAAAATCAAAAGAGATTGGAAACTGCAAGGTCAAGTGATAATTGGAGACAGACCTTATGGTGAACACCACACAGATGTTGAGAAAGCCACTCCGGACTTGGCTGGTGACCAAAACGATGAGCGCTTGGCCAAGAATTAACATTCGGCACATCTGTGTAAGCCATTTTGGTGGCAGCTGTGCCTAATGCTCATTAGCCCCCATCTGTAAGGCGGTTACGGACGATCTGGAATTAGCATCTTCCGACACAGACACAATGAAGAAAAATGGCGTTCGAAACAAGATGAGGCAAAGCTTCACAGTGAAGGAATACAGGGCAGATAACATGAAAGATCTTA